CAGCACCGAAACTTGGGTCTCACTGGAAGCCCTGGGTCTTGTACTAATGATAGGGAACCAGAACTCCTGATTTCGGGTCACCTGATCGCTGTGATAGCCTCTGATTGGCCATCACAGTGATCAGTCACTGTGAAGCCTGCACCCCTGCTTTCTCCTGCTAAATGGAGGAGAGAGGGAGAGAGACACATTTTATCTCTCTCTCTCTCCTTGCAGAGAAAAACAAAAAAATGGAATTAAAAAAAAATATTAAATAAAATATATATATATATAATATATAATAATATATATATATAATAATATATATTTATTAATTAAAAATAAACAAATACCCAGATCAAAGTTTGACATAGGTCAGTGCCAGGGTTAGTGTTTGGGTCAGGTAAGGGTCAAAGGTCAAGGTCAGGAACAGGATTTTTTTTTTTTAAAAAAATAAGTATTTGGGTTAGTTAGTGTGTGTTTTAAGTAGAACAAAAAAAAAAAAAGAAGCAAAATGCGCACTATTGTTTCTGGGCTGTACTATGGGAAAGAATTTATTTTGGGTGGTTCTTTGGTGGTAGGTTGTGGTAGTAACAAGATATATACAGCTAAATAATTACAAAAAAAAAAGATTTTTTTTTCTAGTATTTTTGGGCCAGTTTTCCTTTGATTAAGAAAAAAAAAAAAAAAAAAAAAAAAAAAAAAACACAGGAAATATCCACAACCATTCACCACCAAATAAAATCCCAGTTTGTCCTGAAAAAAAAAAACACGGTATAATTTATCTGGATATACAAAGTAGCTGTAATGACATGTACAGGATTATAACTTTTTTTTTTTTTTTTTTAAAGGTTGAACTGGAAGGCCTGGTGGCCAGCTCCAGGAAACGTCTGACCTCTGTGATTGCCAACAAGGGATTTGCCACCAAGTACTCCTAGATTGTAAGCTCCAAGGAGCAGGGCCCTCAAACTCCTGGTGTATCGCATTGTATTGTTACTGTACTGTCTCATGTATTGTCTCCCATTGTAATGTACAGCGCCGAGCAAACTATTGGCGCTATATAAATACTGTATAATAATAATAATAATAATAATAATAATAATGTTTTGTGAAGGGGATCAAATCCTTATTTCCCTCATGAACATGCAGATCAGTCATCATTTGTTAGACGCATTTCTGCTGAATTTTTTGTTGCTATTCTGTCTCTGTGTTACAATACACCGAACATTCGTTTTTTTAGACCGATCATTTCTTTGTGCGTGGGCAAACGTTCAAAATCAGCCGGGGAGCAAATACTTATTTCCTTCACTGTACATTAAGATCAGCGCGGTTTACCCTTTGGCATGAAGGGGTTAACTGAACAAGCTGAAGTTAGAAGCCGATTGGCTACCATGCACAGCTGCATCAGATTCCAGAGTGCACCAGTTTTAGTAAATCTCCCCCAATGTCTACATCCTAAAAATAAGTTGTGCTTCAGTCCTACTTTAGGGACTGCAAGTACAAGCAGTGTCGGGGCACGTGTCCTAGAAGAGGAGATATTCAGCATTCGATGAACAGTACCTTGGCGTACTCAAACATGCGCAAGTCTGTGTACATATCCAGCGCTCGGTTCTCTTGCCCACCCTTCTTGTAGAGCTTGGCTGCCTCGTGGAACTTGCCCTGATAGGCGTAGACATCCGCCAGGAACAGGTCATCATTGGCATCTCCACGTTTTTTACGTTCCTAGGAGATAAAAAAAAAAAAAAAAGAGAAGAATTTAAATAATATATTTATAGCCCTTTTCTAACAAGTGGACCCCCGATTATTGCTTTTACGCTTTTTTCTCAATTACCTTAGTTAACAGTCCTTGATATAACAAACACAAAAGGAACATGTAGAACAGGGGTGGGCAAACTTTTTGACTTGAGGGCCGCAATGGGTTCATATATTGGACCCGGGGGCCGGACCAAGAGTAGATGAATGATGTGTATGTGTCATCCATAGTAAGTATAGTAATATTCCCCCATAGTAAGCATAGTAATTCATCCCCCATATAGTAATTCATCCCCCATATAGTAATTCATTCCCCATATAGTAATTCATCCCCCATATAGTAATTCATCCCCCATATAGTAATTCATCCCCCATATAGTAATTCATCCCCCATAGTAATTCATCCCCCATAGTAATTCATCCCCCATATAGTAATTCATCCCCCCTATAGTAATTCATCCCCCATAGTAATTCATCCCCCATATAGTAATTCATCCCCCATATAGTAATTAATCCCCCATATAGTAATTCACCCCCCATAGTAATTCATCCCTCATATAGTAATTCATCCCCCATATAGTAATTCACCCCCCATATAGTAATTCATCCCCCATATAGTAATTCATCCCCCATAGTAATTCATCCCCCATAGTAATTCATCCCCCATATAGTAATTCATCCCCCCTATAGTAATTCATTCCCCATATTAATTCATCCCCCATATTAAGTCCCCCCTGTGTCAATTCACTTACCTTTGCTCCGCGCGTTCCTCTCGCCGTGTTCCCGCGCCGTTCCGGTGTAGCATGAAAATCTGTCTCCTATGAGGATCTGTCCCCCTCGACGTATCTGCGCATGTGCCAGTTTCAGGCATTAGCAGCCGATCGGCGATCTCCGGCACATGCGCAGATACGTCGAGGGGGACAGATCCTCATAGGAGACAGATTTTCATGCTGCACCGGTCTTCAGGGCGGACTGTGAGAGGAGCCTAGCGGGAGCCTAGCTCCGCGGGCCGGATTAAAAGGTCCGCCGGGCCGTAGTTTGCCCATTGCTGATGTAGAACCTAACTGAATGATATTTCGTTTGCTAAAGTACTGTGTATCACAAACAATGGCTGTGCTCTTATATAAAATCTATAAAATATTTGTTTTCTCGGTTTTTTTTCATCCTTTGTTTTATCTTGGTGCTGTTGATCTCATGCAGCCACATAGGGGTTTATTTACTAAAGCTGGAGAGTGCAAAATCAGACTCCCTTCTGCATAGAAACCAATCAGCTTCTAACCCCAGCTGGTTCAATTATGCTTTGGCAATAAAACCTGGAAGCTGATTGGTTTCTATGCAGAAGGGAGTCTGATTTTGCACTCTCCAGCTTTAGTAAATAAACCCCTTACTGTCTACAGTACACGCATGTCAGCGATGATTGCATGACATGTCTCAGGGCTTGCTTCCTAATGATGACAATTGTGGACCATGCCTGTCAAATGTGCTTCAGCAGGATCACAGCACAAGATAACAAAAAAAAAAAAAAAAATGGACAGACCCACGAGGTATTATTTTACAGAAATCAGCAGCTATAAAGAGAATGAAAACTACATTAGGGCTAGGTTCACACTCATGCAGTGCGGTATATCGCATGTGATTCGCTCAGGAACCGCACCGCATTCCTGTGCAAATCACATGCGAATTGTGTGCGGTGCCATATGAGCCATACATGGCTCAAATCACACTGCATCCGCACCAAAAAGGTGCAGGACCCTTTTTTGGGTCCGCACTAGAATCGGATCGCACGGGTATTCACACCTATGATCCGATTCTTCACATCACGCCGCGTTTTGCAAACCGATTTCAGGGTATTGGTAACTTAACATACCGATAAGCACTTCTGACCCCTGCACTCAGTGTTATGCACTCCTGTAAATTACGAACTCTCTTCCCTGCACTCTGGGTTCAGGGGTCAGGAGTGCTTATCGCACAGAGCGCAGGGGAGAAGAGATTGTAATGTATAGGGAACAGGAACGCATAATACACTGAGTGCAGGGGTCAGGAGTGCTTATCGCACAGAGCGCAGGGGAGAAGAGATTGTAATGTATAGGGAACAGGAACGCATAATACACTGAGTGCAGGGGTAACACACTTGAGTGCAGGGGTCAGGAGTGCTTATCGCACAGAGTGCAGGGGAGAAGAGTTTGTAATTTACAGGAGTGCGTAACGCTGAGTGCAGAGGTCAGGAGTGTATATCGCACAAAGCGCAGGGGAGAAGAGTTCGTAATGTGCATGAAACGGGATTGCTTAACACACTGGGTGCAGAGGTCAGGAGTGCTTATTGCATAGAGTACAGGGAAGAGAGTTAGTAATGTACAGGAGTGCATAACACTGAGTGCAGAGGTCAGGAGTGCATATCGCATAAAGTGCAGGGGAGAAGAGTTTGTAATGTACAGGGGTTAGGAGTGGATATCTCACAGAGTGCATAGGAAAAAAAGTTTGTAATGTACAGGGAACAGGAGTGCTTAACACACTGAGTGAAGGGGTCAGGAATGCATATCTCACAGAGCGCAGGGGAGAAGAGTTCGTAATGTACAAGGAACAGGAGTGCTTAACACACTGTGCAATATGCATTCCTGACCTCTGCACTCAGTGTGCTAAGCACTCCTGTTCCTTGTACATTACAAACTCTTCTCCCCTGCGCTCTGTGAGATATGAGTTCCTGACCCCTTCACTCAGTGTGTTATGAATTCCTGTTTCCTGTACATTACAACCTCTTCTCCCCTGCGTTCTATGCAATATGCACTCCTGTCCTCTGTACATTACAGACTCTTTTCCCCTGCACTCAGTGCAATATGCATTCCTGACCTCTGCACCCAGAGTGCAGGGAAGAGAGTTCGTAATGTACAGGAGTGCATAACACTGAGTGCAGAGGTCAGGAATGCATATTGCACAGTGTGTTAAGCACTGCTGTCCCCTGTACATTACGAACTCTTCTCCCCTGCACTCTGTGAGATATGCACTCCTGACCCCTACACTCAGTGTGTTATGAATTCCAGTTCCCTGTACATTACAACCTCTTCTCCCCTGCGCTCTGCGTACTCCTGACCCCTACACTCAAGTGTGTTATGCGTTTCTGTTCCCTGTACATTACAACCTCTTCTCCCCTGCGCTCTGCGTACTCCTGACCCCTACACTCAAGTGTGTTATGCGTTTCTGTTCCCTGTACATTACAACCTCTTCTCCCCTGCACTCTGCGTACTCCTGAGCCCTGCACACAGTGTGTTAAGTGCTACTGTCCCCTGTACTCTGCACATAATGCGCTCTTCTCCGCTGTGCGATATGCACGCTTATCCCCTGCACTCCACACACTCCTGACCCCTGCACTCCACACACTCCTGACCCCTGCACTCCACACACTCCTGACCCCTGCACTCCACACACTCCTGACCCCTGCACTTTGTGTCTTAAGAACTTCTGACTCCAGTACTCTGTGCGATATGCACTCCTGACCCCTGCACTCCACACACTCCTGACCCCTGCACTCCACACTCTCCTGACCCCTGCACTCCACACACTCCTGACCCCTGCACTCCACACACTCCTGACCCCTGCACTCTGTGTCTTAAGAACTTCTGACTCCAGTGCTCTGTGCGATATGCACCCACGTTTCAAGCCTCTCACTCCAATAATACAATGTTGGCCACATGCACAATTCACCTAGTTTTTAACTTCTGGGTCCTCAACACTGACCCCCCTCCATCTTCCTTTCCCAGGAAAAAAAAAATCTATGGCCTTGCTTTCAGCGGACATCCCAGTATAGATACAGGTTTGAGGCTGAATTTCTAGAATAAAATGTAATGACTTCTGAAGAAACACACAAGTGAACCTGATGTTAATCTCTGTACTAGTGATGCTCTGACCCCCATGTAGCAGTGCTGTGGATGTGGGGAGTGCAGGTGTGGGGTATGTAAACAGCAGGTGTATCCGAGTGTACGGCCGGGGCCGGGGTCCCCGGAGGACAGACAAATGAAAAGGACATTGTGTAGTCAGGTGCAGGGAGCGCCAGGCGCTGACAGGAACCAGCGAGAATTTAATAAACAGCCCGGCTACCCTGCCTGTAAATCCTGCGACTTCCTAAGTATAGTCAAGGTGCTGTCTGCAATAATTATTGATGTTTTCCTCTGGCTGGGGGTGAACACAAGGCACACCACACCCGCATTTCCCTCCTTTATAGAACACTCACTGCTAGCTGCTGTGCTGACAATCAATCTGCTTATATTTTGCCTTCCTTGGTTCCTCATTCCCCGAATCACCAACAAAACCTTTCCATTTTCATTACATCCCTTATTTTATACCCAGCGATGTCATCACTAGGTCTCTGTGCTTCTCTAACCAAAGCAAGCAGATCATGGCTGGTGGGGGTGATGTACATAGCTTTCTGAAAACATCTCAGCACCCAGCTTTGCATGCATTTCTGATGATGAAAAAAGGCTCCGGACAGCATCTGGATATGGAACAGTTAAAAAAAACACTTCTAAACGCAAACGCTTATAAACCCAGTCAACCGCGTTTACATGTATGTGGCATTTGAAACGCCGGTAAAATCTACTCCTGAACGCAAGTTTGGTGTGTAAAAAAAAAAAAAAAAACTGTAAACTCAACTGCCTGTAAAGGACGATGTGTACATGGACACTTAGGAAAACATTAGGGGGAGTTCAGGGGCTGCTGAAAAAAAAAAACGCTCAACAGCTCCTGAATGTCAGTTTATCAGCTGCAGTGTACATGGGCCCTTATAAGGACCATGGTTCAACTACTGTATATCCACTGGTGACACCTACTGGTTACTCCATACATTGCGGTGCTTTATATATGTACACTGGTGACACCTACTGGTTACTCCATACATTGCAGTGCTTTATATATGTACACTGGTGACACCTACTGGTTACTCCATACATTGCGGTTCTCTCTCTCTCATATATATATATATATATATATATATTATACAGTATTTATATAGCGCTAAAAGGTTTGCTCAGCACTGTACATTATAGGTATAGATATATATATACACACACACACACACATATAAAAATATATACATACACACACTGGTGACACCTACTGGCTACTCCATACATTGCGGTGCTGTGTGTGTGTGTGTGTAATATATGTGTATAATAAATAAAATATATATATATATATTTATTTATTATACACATATATTATATACACACACACACACACACACACACACACACACACACACATATATATACACACACATATACATACACACATATATATATATATATATATACACACACACACACACACACACACACTGGTGACACCTACTGGTTACTCCCTACATTGCACTGCTATACCCACTAGTGACACCTAGACATTACTCTATACCAGTGTTTCTCAACTAGGGTTCCTCCTGAGGTTGCTGGGGGTTTCTTCAGCTTTCAGCAATGGTGGATTGACCTCCCACCTTCACTGATCACTACGCCTAAAATGATCACTATTGTTGGAGTGAACACTAAATACGCCACATTTTTAATTCTTCTATTTATTTAAAACTTTCATTGACATAGTAGTCATGCTAATGTGTCATGAGCTGTAGGAATAATTCTTTTTAGCTGAGGTTCCTTAAGAACCTGAAAATTATTTCAAGGGTTCCTCAGGGGTAAAAAGGTTGAAAAAGTCTGCTCTATACACTGGTGACACCTACTGGTCATACCATACATTGCACTGCTATATACACTGGTGACACCTACTGGTCATACCATACATTGCACTGCTATATACACTGGTGACACCTACTGGTCATACCATACATTGCACTGCTATATACACTGGTGACACCTACTGGTCACACCGTATATTGCACTGCTATACCCATTAGTGACACCTACACGTTACTCCATACATTGCACTGACAGATCTGTGACATTTGTCAGAAAGTCACCAACACAAAAAAATGTGCCTAATTAAAAAACTATACACAGCTCTATATAACATTTGGTCACTATGTAAACAGTGATAAAAAAAAGCAAGCCAGATAATGTTTAAATCTGACCTCCTGTCTTGCCTTCAGTCTTGCACAGTTGTACTGACTCCTCTCCTGGACTGAAATGGCTTACTCTGATCTTACTGCACACTGTGAGCTTCTCACAATGTGCATTAGAAGCTGCAACAAGTCACAAAGAGCCCACCTCATTTCCTAGCTGGTGGACATCCGGCATTATCTAGCTCTTTCCTCCCCAACCTGACTGCCCCTGGCCTTCCCCTTTCATTCACCAGATGTCTAAATCACAGAGGATCAGCATCACATGTGAAAGTTGTGTAGGGCAGTCTACATGCAAATATAGCTTGTTCAGGAACACCCACTCCTGCAGACTGACATCCACCTATCAAGGCATGAGAGCTCCTGAGAGTAGTACTGAGGCGGGTGTTGTGATGTTTTCAGGAAGCTATATACAGCACCCTGCTAGCTCCTTCCATCAGGTATGATCACCCTGCATTGCATAGAGAAGCACAGATACCCAGTGATGACATCAGTGGATGTAAAATAAAGTATGTAATGGAAATGCTTTATTTAAAAATGTTATTGAAGGGGGGGGGAAGGGGGGTGAATAAGTAAATGAGCAAACGTCAGCTTTAGGAGACCTTCCAGGACTACAAAATATCTCATAATAGCTGAGCCCACCAAGAAAGGTCTGAGTGAGTTTCATTATGAATCTCTGCGGAAATGAAAGATTTTTCATATAAGAGGAAATATACGTTTATAACACTGATGATGTCACCGAGACAAACTGCCAGCAAAACAGGCCAAGGAAGGAAAAGGAAAAAATGTGTGCTGCAGTCCTGGCCTCTCCCATCCCCGAGGCCGCCATGACCTCTCCCATCCCCGATGCCGCCATGACCTCTCCCATCCCCGATGCCGCCATGACCTCTCCCATCCCCGATGCCGCCATGACCTCTCCCATCCCCGATGCCGCCATGACCTCTCCATGTTAGGGGTATGTCAACACTATTGTGTAGACACAATAGAGGGGACCCAGTAATGAACTCTGCACTGCTGAGCTGCTTTCACGAATTCATTTTACGGATCAAAAGGACAATAAACACTGAAAAGTAATGAAATACGGATAACACAGCCGAAAGGCATAGCTTGGTCCAACCAGTATATGGGTTTATCTCAAGGCAGTTGGGGGGGTTAAGGTAAAAAACGGGCTTCTGTGGTGCGGTTTTACCCCCACCCTGAAATCTATAACAGCTGGACAGGGCTGTTCACATTCTGCTACCATAGCATTTTTAGCTCGCGGTGAAAAGTTTGTCTATTATACTCGCCCACTGAGTACAATGGGGCAGCATTGCAACTGCGTGCAATTCATGCGATTGCAGCATAATAGTGAGGGATTGAAGGGTTAAATCAGGCGGTGAGGAGGAGATAGAACATTTCAGCAGATCCTGACCTGGAGGAGTGCAGAACAAGCGCACGGCTCTTGGGGTTTGCAGCGTGCAGGAGCTGACAATGGAAGAACTTGGCCGGATAGGCGGGAGAGTGTCGGGATGTCTTCTGGGCAACACTCTCCCACCAGATCCAATCCTCCCCGCTGTACCGATCAGCTGCTCAGGCTCTCTCCTTCCAGTTCTTGCAGCTCTCCACATGGACATCTGTCAGCGTGACTCTCTGTGCCTGTCAGCTTCCTCACTGAGGCATAGAGAGCCATGCTGACAGTAGAGGTATCGAGGACCGGATAGGTATAGACAAAGGGTCAGATGTGGCCCTGGGGCTGCAATATGCCCAGGTCTGCTCTACAGTCTCATAGGGAAACATGCACAGCTGAGACTGTCAATTGCAGGCGGTGTGTTGGAGCACCCCTCTCCAGTCCCCCTGCATCTTTCGGAGTCTGTATAACCTTCATCAGAAGTGATTCATGCAGATATCAGAAAAAGGAAACCGCAGAGAGAAATCCCACCAAGTGCTTTTGATGGAGGATTGGACTGGATTAAGTACACACTACAGAAGAATATGCTTTGTTCATATTACATTTCAGAGGTTTACAACCACTTTAAGGCTGAAATGGAGGGAGAGAGAGAGAGAGAGAGAGAGAGAGAGAGAGAGAGAGAGAGAGAGAGAGAGAGAGAGAGAGAGAGAGAGAGAGAGAGAGAGAGAGAGAGAGAGAGAGAGAGAGAGGAGGGGAGGGAGGGAGAGAGGGGGAGAGAGAGAGAGAGAGAGAGAGAGAGAGAGAGGGGGGGGGGGAGGGAGGAAGGAGGGAAAGAAAGAAAGAAAGAAAGAAAGAAAAAAAAGAAAGAAAGAGAAAAAGAAGAAAGAAAAAGAAAGAAAGAAAAAGAAGAAAGAAAGAAAGAAAAAGAAGAAAGAAAGAAAGAAAGAAAAAGAAGAAAGAAAGAAAGAAAAAGAAGAAGGAAAGAAAGAAAGAAAAAGAAGAAGGAAAGAAAGAAAGAAAGAAAAAGAAGAAAGAAAGAAAGAAAGAAAAAGAAGAAAGAAAGAATTTGAGGGGAAGCACAATGGCTTAGTGGACCATTCCCTTGCAGGGTCCTCATTTCAGGTTTTGGCCTGCACACTATCTGCATGGAGTTTGCATCCTCTCTATGGGCTTAAGTGCGTGTCCTCTGAGTATTCCAGTATCCTTACACACGTCAAAGACATGCTGGTAGATTAACTGGCTCCTGTCTAAATTGTCCCTAGTATGTGAGATAGAGACCTTAGTGGACTTAGCAGGGACTGATGAGAATGTACAGAAAGTAGAGCACTGCATAAATTGTCTGTATATAATGTGTATATTAATAAATGTTTCTAAGCATATTATATGATTTTTTTAACATATGTAAAAAAGAAACTACATTACAAGGAGCAGGACACACATTGCTGGTTACCTCAATGCTGTTGATCAGTTCCAGGTAGCGAAGGTCTCGCACACGAATAAAGGCCTGCAATAAGGAAAGGAAAAATATGAGACAAAGCAAATAGCACATCATAGTACAGCTTTAGAAAAACAAATGCAGTAAGACCTTTATATAGTTGCTTTATTTTCTGCCATCCCTTGCTGCCAATCCCTCCACTGGCCTCCAGTCAGTGTCCTCCATCCCTCGCTGCCAATCCCTCCACTGGCCTCCACTCAGTGTCCTCCACCCCTCCACTGGCCTCCACTCAGTGTCCTCCATCCCTCTATGCCAATCCCTCCACTGACCTCCACTCAGTGTCCTCCACCCCTCTCTGCTAATCCCTCCACTGACCTCCACTCAGTGTCCTCCATCCCTCTCTGCCAATCCCTCCACTGACCTCCACTCAGTGTCCTCCATCCCTCTCTGCCAATCCCTCCACTGACCTCCACTCAGTGTCCTCCATCCCTCCACTGACCTCCACTCAGTGTCCTCCATCCCTCTCTGCCAATCCCTCCACTGACCTCCACTCAGTGTCCTCCATCCCTCCACTGACCTCCACTCAGTGTCCTCCATCCCTCTCTGCCAATCCCTCCACTGACCTCCACTCAGTGTCCTCCATCCCTCCACTGTCCTCCACTCAGTGTCCTCCACCCCTCTCTGCCAATCCCTCCACTGACCTCCACTCAGTGTCCCCCATCCCTCTCTGCAAATCCCTCCACTCAGTGTCCTCCACCCCTCTCTGCCAATCCCTCCACTTATCTCCACTCAGTGTCCTCCACCCCCTCTGCCAATCCCTCCACTGGCCTCCACTCAGTGTCCTCCACCCCTCTCAGCCAATCCCTCCACTGGCCTCCACTCAGTGTCCTCCACCCCTCTCTGCCAATCCCTCCACTGACCTCCACTCAGTGTCCTCCACCCCTCTCTGCCAATCCCTCCACTGGCTTCCCGTTGCCCAACGAATAAAATTCAAAACATTACCAATAACAAAAAGCCATTTATAACTCCGCCCCAAATTACATCACCAATCTTGTCTCCAAATATCACCCAAACCATCCTCTCCGCTCCTCCCGTGACCTCCTGCTCTCTAGCTCCCTTGTCTCCTCCTCCCATGCTCATCTCCAGGACTTCTCCAGATCCTCCCCCATCCTCTGGAACTCTCTACCCCAATATAATCAGACTATCGCCTACTCTGCTCACTTTTATGCATTCTCTGAAAACCTCTCTCTTCAGGGAAGCCAATCCTGCCCTCAGCTAATAATGGAATCTTCTCTTCCTCTTACCAGTCCATCCCCCACAGTTATTACCTTTTGTACCACTAGCCCCTCCCTCCTAGATTGTAAGCTCCCAGGATCAGGGCCCTCCTATCCCTCTTGTATTGAACTGTATTGTTGCTGTATTGTCTCCCGTTATATTGTAAAGAGCTGAGCAAACTGTTGGCGCCATAAATCCTGTATAATAATAATATAAATCCTGTATAATAATAATATATAAATCCTGTATAATAATAATATGTAGAAGAGTTAGTAGAGACAGAAGGATCCACCTACAAACTTTCATGATAACGTTTGCACACCAATTACTTTGCAGTGCGCTAGCAGTGAATGGCTGTCGGTGTCAGCTGGTGTCAGCAGTTTTACACTGCAGCCCCAGACAGACAGGATGACCCTGTGAATGACAGGAAGTGCTGGGACCCTCCACTGAGGAATGAACCGTGAGCAGAGAGATCACACCAAGGCTAAGCATCCCGTGAAAACAGGAAACACATTGTCACCTTTTTAGCAGTCTCAAAATCCAGCCCCTCTAACGCCTCCATCGCCAGCTCCTTCCAGTCCAGGTCAGTGACCCCGAGGCAGGCAATCTGGTAGGCTTCTCGGAACATCTTCCTCTCCAGGTACTGATACATCGGGGCAGACTGTGGGGGGGGGGGGGGGGAGAAAGGAGAGGTTTGGGAGAAGACAGTGAGAAGAATATTAATCTGTGAAGAACAGATAGCGGGGTCTACACTACTCCCAATCAGTGGGAGGAAATAAACAACATTCCCCCATGGCTGTTCATGCTGCCATACCTGTACATAAAACACAGAAATCACATTTGAAGTGCTCCTAAAGGCTGAAGGTTTTTACCTTCATGCATTCTACCCTTCTGTGCTCCCCCCCCCCCCCCCCCCCAATACCTATCTGACCCTGATCCCAATCCAGCACTGCGCATGAGAGCAGTGGCTCTCCCAGCTCCCTCCCTCGTCAATGGCTCAGAGACAGCAGAGGGAGCCACTGGCTCCCATTGCTGTCAATCACAGCCAGTGTACAGGGAGAGTGGAGCTGAGCCACACTCTGTGTTTATATGGACACAAAGAACCAGCTTGGACTGCCCTTGAAGTGTTACTAAACCCCCAACAGTACAATCAGTCTGTAGATGCAGTAGTGCATGCTTGTTACTGTGGAACCTAAGGGGTTAATCCTCCGCATTGTGTAAAAAGGCTGTTTGATTCTGTCTTCTCTGATCCGCCCCCTTCTTCTACAGTCCCCAATCCATCTGCTGATAGTACAGAGCTCTAGGAGTCACTCTGCACATGCTCAGTTTAGGGTGTATGGCTATAGAGGATTTTTTTTTAACTTTTACTTTGGAAGAGTGCATGTGATCGGCACAGGGCCAATCAACACTGTCCAGGCAGAGGGTCAGGGGTTATGCAGCCTCATAGGACAGTCAGAGCAGAATGAAAACTCCTCCTACAAGCTTTAACTGGTGCTGTGCTGGACACTGATAGAAGTCACATGACTGCTATATACAGCTGATGAGAAAAAGGGTTTTAGCAGTTTAGATTTACTAAAATAATTGCATTTCCATGTTCTGTGTACTGTAGGAGACCGGATATAGTGAATGCAGGGTCCGGGGAGACCAGATATAGTGAATGCAGGGTCCGGGGAGACCAGATATAGTGAATGCAGGGTCTGGGGAGACGCTCTCCTGACCAGCGCGTGAAAAGTAGGAGAAATTATAAGTGGCCTCAAACCAGGGTTTCTCCACAAACCCCGCACGTCCCCCTCCCGACGCATTTCGTCCTGCCCACTGGGGCTTAGTCACAGATGGGTGGGGCATCCCAATGTTTACAAGTTTGTCACTACTGGATGAGTGGATCCACTATTCCTGAGCACCAGGGGAAGAGCATTTCCTTGGATCAGTGCTCCAAGCTTCTTTCCAGGTCACAGCGGGTTGATGTACACAGTGGCTAAATGGTTAGCACTCCCGCCTGGCAGTACTAGGGTCGTTGATTCGAATCCCAACCATGGCACCACCTGCCTGGAGTTTGTATGTTCTCCCTGTGCCTGTGTGGGTTTCCTCCCACACACCAAAGACATGCTGGTAGGTGAATTGGCTCCTGTCTAAATTGTCCCTAGTATGTGTATGTATGAATGTGAGTTAGGAACCTTAGATTGTACGCCCCTTGAGGGTTAGGGACCTTAGATTGTACGCCCCTTGAGAGTTAGGGACTTTAGATTGTACGCCCCTTGAGGGTTAGGGACCTTAGATTGTACGCCCCTTGAGGGTTAGGGACCTTAGATTGTACGCCCCTTGAGGGTTAGGGACTTTAGATTGTACGCCCCTTGAGGGTTAGGGACCTTAGATTGTACGCCCCTTGAGGGTTAGGGACCTTAGATTGTACACCCCTTGAGGGTTAGGGACCTTAGATTGTATGCCCCTTGAGGGTTAGGGACCTTAGAATGTACCCCCCTTGAGGGTTAGGGACCTTAGATTGTACGCCCCTTGAGGGTTGGGGACCTTAGATTGTACGCCCCTTGAGGGTTGGGGACCTTAGATTGTACGCCCCTTGAGGGTCAGGGACCTTAGATTGTACACCCCTTGAGGGTTAGGGACCTTAGATTGTACACCCCTTGAGGGTTAGGGACCTTAGATTGTACACCCCTTGAGGGTAGGGACTGATGTGAATGTACAATATATATGTAAAGCGCGGTGTACATTGACGGCGCTATACAAGTACCTGAAATAAATAAATTAAAAGTGTACTTGTATGTTTTTGCACATGCTCCTGCAAAGTCATGGAAGAGAGGCAGAAAAGTGCCCTTTTGGCTCTCTTTAGACATCTACTATACAGTAATACATACAGTATATGGCAAAAGAAAACCGAGACAGTAGAAAGTCTGTAACTTACTTGCGGCACATCTACAGAAGACATGGAGTAGACATGCAGGCAGAAGATCTTTGATCCATTGTAGCCTACAACAAAGCCCTGCAGTTTCTGTTGGTGAACGGGGAAGTTACTGGCTTTGATATTCAGGTACCCTTCTCCTGAAAAGCAAACCATGTCCTCACACTGCGTGTTCCAGGCTACACTGTTGGCATTGGGCTCCTAAAAGAAAAATGGAAGAATAAAATGAAAATCTAACAATATCAATAAATAAAACGTTCAACACAGTGGCTCATACTTCTTCCTGGCAGCATTGGAGTCCTTGGTTTGTATTCGGCCAGGAGAGTCTCTGCATGGAGTTCTCCCGGTGGTTGTGTGGATTCCTCCAGGTGCTCCTTTTTGTCCTCCAACTCTCCAACGACATGCTGGAAGGTTAACTGGCTCTTGTCTATATTGACCGTAGTATGCATGTGTATGTGTCTATATGTATGTATACATATGAGATTGGGACCTTAGATTGTAAGCTCCTTGAGATCAGGGACCAATGTGAATGAATAGCCACTAGAAGACTAGGCCTTTTCTGACACGTTTTGTTTCCATGTAAAAATTATTTTTTTTATTTTTTGGTTTTTACTTCGAATTCCAAACATTATATATTTTTTTTTATAAAGCAGAGGCCCTAGAGAATAAAATGGGTGTTGCGATTTTTTTTTTTTTATGTCACGCGGTACTTGCGCGTGACATAAAAATTTGAATTTTACTGCACAAAAAACACAATTTTTTTGGGAAAAAAAATACACTTTTTTGAATTTTAATGCACAAAAACACAATATATATACCCAATTGTTTACAAAAAATGGAAAACTATGTTACACCGAGTAAATAGATACCAAACATGTCATGTTTTAAAATTGCGCATATCTGTGCAACGGCAACAAGTGGCATACATTTCATTACCCATAGGTGACGCTTTAAAAAAATTTACAGTTTACCACTTTACATTTGCACAGGAGGTCTGGTGTTAGAAATATTGCACTCGATCTGACGTTCACGGTGCTACCTCACATGTGTAGGATGAACGCTGTTTGCGTGAGTACGGGACCGACCGACATTCGCACGGGGGTGCTTTAATTTTTTTAAAGTTATTATCTCCTAGATTGTAAGCTCCCAGGATCAGGGCCCTCCTAACCCTCTTGTATTGAACTATATTGTTGCTGTATTGTCTCCCATATATTGTAAAGCGCTGAGTATACTGTTGGCGCCATAAATCCTGTATAATAAATAATATATTTATTTTTCATTGTTGCTTCAATTTTCTTTTAACCACTTTTTTTGTTATCACAGGGAATATAAACTTCTCCTGTGATAACAATTGGCTATGACAAGTACACTATACAGGGAGAGATCTGTGGTTTATTAGACACCAAATCTCACCTCTGCCCTTGAAAGCATTTGATTGCACCATGATTGGTGTAATCATATGCTTTAACATTTTAAAAATGGCGCTGTTTACATCCGGGAAAACCAGAAGTGATGAATTCTTACTTCCAGTTTCTTACATCATAGAGGCGATCAGAGCTGATCCAACCTCTGTTTGCCTTTATGATAAGCCGACGGAAGCGCCAGTTGATTGCTTGGGTATCCCTGTGGGACAGCGAACCCAAGACAGCCGCAGAAAGTTGCGGGGGCGAGGTGACATCCCATCCCGTTGCTTGTAAAAGCCACCCAGCAGCTAATTAGTGTCTTGGATTGCTTTTTACAAGAAAGCCGACCGTTGGCTCTAAAAAAACTATACTGGGATAATGCTTGCAGCTGCAGACGTCATCCCGGTATAACCGCCAAAAATCCAGTGACACACGGGTACGTCGCTGGTCTGCAAGTGGATAGTGTGTATAGAGCTGTGTAAATTGCTGGCGCTAAATAAATGCTTACACTAAATAAATAAGCATCAAGTCTTTGCTAGTGAGCTGTATTATTCTGTATGTTTAGCTGAATTTGAATCAAATGTACATCAAAAAGGGAAAGGCCCTCCTAAGATAAATGAAAGTAGAAACAGACAGCAAGGTCGAGAGCGAGCCCACTTGCGTGCCACCATAGACAGTGGCTTCCTATGGCAGCACATGGAGAAGAGGAGTTGAGAGCACTGATGGGGGATCTCCAAAGAGGAAGATTGGGGCTGCTCTGTGCAAAACCATTACACAGAGCAGGTAAGTATGACATGCTTGTTCTGCTACACAATGCCAGGGCAAAAAAAAATAAGGAGAGGGGTACACATTGTACCTCTTACTGGTAAGGATTTAGGCCAGCCCTAACGGGTCGAATTCTGAAAGAATTTTCTTTCAAAAATCTTTTCTAAGAATTTTCGTTTGAATTTCGCACCATTAGTGGGTCACAGAAACAGCCGATTTTCATGTGACCATCGAATTTGAGTGACCGGGTGTGTTGGAAATTTTTTGAAAAACAAACGAATTTCGAATCAATGTTGGGAGAATCGGGCGAGAAATGTAATTGAAAAAGAAACAAAAACATGAGCTGTGACCTGGAAAGAAAAGAAAATTCTTGGCCATGAAAATTCTTTTCGATAGCAACACGATATGAAATTGAAGGCTTGGTTTAAAATCAATGCTAGCGCCATTGGAGTACAAAATGCACGAAATTTCCAATTTTCTAAAGAAAACTTGTTCAGAATTAGACGCATGTATGGCCTGCATAAAGCCGGTCATACACGGGTCAAACTCTGAATGGATTTTCTTAAACTGGCCATACACGGGTCAAATTCCGAAAAGAATTTTCTTTCAAAAAACTTTTCTAAGAATTTTGGTTCGAATTTCGGCCGATTTTCGAGTGTCAAATTTGAGTGATCAGACATGTTGCACATTTTTTTTTAAAAACAAAGGAATTTCTAATCAATGATGGGAGAATCGTGCGAGAAATGTAATCGAAAAAGAAACGAGCCGCGAGTTGTGACCTGGAAAGAAAATTCTTGGCCACGAAAATTCTTTTCTGTAGCAACAGGAGGAGAAATTGAAGGCTCGGTTGGTCGAATTTTGAAATCAAATGTGGTACCATCGGCTTACAAAACACACAAAATGTCTGCTTTTCTAAAGAAAATTCGTTTGGAATTCGACCCATGTATGGCCTGCCTAACAGTGCTGAACCACAGAGATAACAAATTCTCCTCCCAACCTGGAACAAGAGATCTTTTGTTGTGATGTCATACACGAGACACATGTTGTTTTCATCCACTACGGCGAGCTTGTTGCGACTAGCGCTCATGTCCAGACACCGCACGGATGTGGTCTGTTTGAGAAGGGTGATGGCAAAGAGGTTGTCCACAAAAATCTTCAGGATCTGATGAAAAACATAAAAAGAAGAAAAGAGGAGAGGGTGAATGAAATGCGTTTTACACAACCGTCCGCAAATTGGCTGCTACATAGTTGATTGTCTGTGTGGTTCACTGTCGTTCAGGGTGACCCTAAAGAATTCTACCGCAGATCTGATAACAAGGGAGATGAAATAGACCAGGAAAACATTTAGTAGATGTGAAGGAAAGCGTACTAAAAGGGATCATGAAGGGGTCTTGTACAAGAAAATATTAGCACGCATATAAACCTGTGCTATGGAAACAGAGGTGACAAGCAGGCTTGTTAAATAAACTGTCCAGCTGAGCCACAGCTCTTTAAATCCTCCAGCAAATGACAACAGTTAACCCTTTGAGGACCAAGGGACGTATTTGTCCCATGTTTTTAATTGCCTGTATCATCTGATTAAGAACTTAAAATACTTTTTTTTTTTTTTGGTTTGAGTCAAAATATTAGTTGTTAACAAACGGATCTAGCTTTTTGCCATGTATTTCATGAAATGGCTTAGTTACAGCAACTGAAGTGTACGAACTTTAAAAACAAAAAAATTGATTCCTTAGGCGTTCCGTAATCTTATGGTTCTCAAAGGGTTAAAAGGCCACACTGCGCGTTCAAGAATACAAGTGTTTTGGTTCAAGAATACAAGTGTTTTGGCGGAAAATAGTTTATTTAGTAAGGAAAATGACTGAAATTAATATTAGATTAGACCCAGAGCTATGTCTTCTCCATATCACAGAGATTCCAGTGAGATTATACAAGGATTTGGGGATGTGGCACTTTGAGTGCAGCGAAGAGTCTGATACCTAGGTTTTGGGAAAAAAAAGGAGGTGCCGACAGAGGAGGATTGGATGGTTAGAATGAATCAGATTTGTGGGACGGAAAGATTGTATTATATGCATATAGATAAGATGGAGATGTATTATATAAAGTGGAAAAAATGGGAAGAGTATAGAGAAAAAGTGGAAAAAATGGGAAGAGTATAGAGAAAAAGTGAAATATATGAAGATGTAACACCCCTTGAAATGGATATTAGAAATAATAGAAATGTTTGGTGTAGTGGGGAGAAGGGAAAACGCAAAGTGTGGGGGGGGAAGAAGGAGGGATGGGGAGTGGGAATTAGATAAATTATGCTAATAGGAAGATATTGTGTGGATGTTTTTTTAATTATGAAGGTGATTGTGATTTGTATTTGGTTGAAAATTAATAAACATTTATAAAAAAAAAATAAAATATAAAAAGGTCACACTGCGCCATCTAATGGTTATTTAGGTAACTGAAATACGTAAATTCAAAAAGGCCTTTACAGCACACTCCATGAGCCTGATACACAGACATTTTTACATTAAAAATAAAAAAAAAAAGAAATTTAAAAAAAAAAAAAAAAAAAAAAAAAAAAAAATGATTTCGCATTAATTTTATAATGCAATTCAGCAAATTTGTTTCAGTACCAAATAAGAAAAACTTTTAGTCATAGAAATCTTGAAGAGTGGGGCTGCCACTGCAGATCTGTAGAAAGGATTGTTCTCTGGTTTCCCTACTTTCTGAAACAATGAACTTTAACACCTATACAGCAATGAATCAGAAGGGAAACCAGAGAACAATCATTTCTACAGATCTGCAGTGTCAGCCCCACTCTCCAAGATTTCTATGGCTAAAAGTTTTTTATTTAATTTGCTACGGAAATAGATTTGCACTGCATAGCAGTCTCACCGGGTTCATTGACACTACAGGTAAGACACTAAACAGAATTAAATTTATATTTTAAAATGTCCATTCCAGGCCAGGTTTGTCTTTTACGATGTGCGATACACAATGAGGGGAATGAACAAAATTCCTATTCCAAATTTCCTAAACTGAGAATATAAAGCAGAGCCTGCTCCTAATTAATGGGGTGCAAGCTCCTTTTTCAACTAGGAGGAAACAGTTAGTAGCATACAGAGCAGGAGAGTTGGAGCTCCTTTGCTGCAGCTCCCTCTGATTACCCTCGCCCAATATTCCCCCCTCCTTGCTTAGTTGAGAGAAAAAGAAGGAAGCATAGATCAATACTCAAAAAAAACCCAATCCAAAACAACCCCCCCCCCCCCAAAAAAAAAAAAAAATGTGCACTCAATGGACAACTCTGTCTTTTTTTCTGCCGTCACTTTTCTGTTTCTATGAAGGAAGGCTGTTAACTCTGTGTTTTCTATGGTAAACAGCTGGCTATATAGGTCGGAAAGGTGCTTTCTCTGCTTATGTGCAGGCTCTGCTCGTGTAGCGTGTAGTGAGGCATGTGGACTGTCAGTCAGATTATCAGTTGACATCCAAAAGCTTTGTTGAGTCCACCCAATGGGCATCATTTAATATTTTCTGACAGCTAAATTTCAAGCTATTGTTACAAATTTGATACCATGATTGTTTCAGTGGCATTACCTGTCCATTCTTCAGACCCACTAAAAGGCCTTCTCTGCCAGAGGAGCCCCCAATCACCTTGATGTAGCGGATAAGAGACTCCATCATCCATTCTCGTTCTTTGACACCTTTAAAGGACAAACACTGCAACCGCTTCTCCTGTGACAGGAGGGAAAGAGATCACTTTTTAATATGACAAACACAACGCCTCGAGATTATACAGGGTCTGCAGAGAGGCTATATACAGTGGGGATCGAAAGTTTGGGCACCCCAGCTAAAAATTTGTATTAATGTGCATAAAGAAGCCAAGGAAAGATGAAAAAATCTCCAAAAGGCATCAAATTACAGATTAGACATTCTTATAATATGTCAACAAAAGTTAGATTTTATTTCCATCATTTACACTTTCAAAATAACAGAAAACAAAAAAATGGCGTCTGCAAAAGTTTGGGCCCCCTGCAGAGTTAATATCTTGTACTGCCCCCTTTGGCAAGTATCACAGCTTGTAAACGCTTTTTGTAGCCAGCCAAGAGTCTTTCAGTTCTTGTTTGAGGTATCTTTGCCCATTCTTCCTTACAAAAGTCTTCCAGTTCTTTGAGATTTCTGGGCTGTCTGTCGCACGGCTCTTTTAAGGTTTCTCCATAGATTTTCAATGATGTTGAGGTCAGGAGATTGTGAAGGCCATGGCAAAACCTTCAGTTTACGCCTCTTGATGTAATCCCCCGTGGATTTCGAGGTGTGTTTAGGATCATTATCCATTTGTAGAAGCCATCCTCTCTTTAACTTCAGCTTTTTCACAGATGGCATCAAGTTACCATCCAAAATTTGCTGAAATTTTATTGAATCCATTTTTCCTTCTACTCGTGAGATGTTCCCTGTGCCACTGGCTGCAACACAACCCCAAAGCATGATTGATCCAACCCCATGCTTCACAGTTGGACAGAGGTTCTTTTCATTAAATTCTGTGCCCCTTCTTCTCCAAACGTACCTTTGCTCATTCCGGCCAAAAAGTTCAGTTTTAACCTCATTGGTCCACAGAACTTGTTTCCAAAATGCATCAGGCTTGTCTATATGTTCATTTGCAAAGTTCAAACGATGATTTTTGTGGTGAGGACGTAGAAGAGGTTTTCTTCTGATGACTCTTCCATGAAGACCATATTTGTACAAGTATCTCTTTATAGTGGAATAGTGTACCACAACTCCAGTGTCTGCCAGATCTTTCTGGAGGGATCGTGCAGTGAAACGTGGGTTTTGAATTGTTTTTCTCACAATCCTGCGAGCTGTTCTGTCTGATATTTTTCTTGGTCTTCCAGATCTTGCTTTAACTTCCACTGTTCCTGATGACTGCCATTTCTTAATTACATTCCGAACAGAGGATATTGACATCTGAAAACGCTTTGCTATCTTCTTATAGCCTTCTCCAGCTTTGTGAGCATCAACTATTTTCAGTTTCAGTTTTCTAGACAACTGCTTAGAAGAACCCATGGTGCTGATTGTTGGGGCAAGGTCAGATGAGTCTGGGCATTTAAAACCTTTGAGATTGACATCACCTGGTCTTCCCAGACGATGATTGAGAACAATCCATGACACTGGCAGGTCTCAGCTTGGCAAAGGGGGCAGTGCATGCTATAAATTCTGCAGGGTGCCCAAACTTTTGCAGACGCCATTTTTTGTTTTCTGTTACTTTGAAAGTGTAAATGATGGAAATAAAATCTAACTTTTGTTGACATATTATAAGAATGTCTAATCTGTAATTTGATGCCTTTTGGAGATTTTTCCATCTTTCCTTGGCTTCTTTATGCACATTAATACACATTTTTAGCTGGGGTGCCCAAACTTTTCATCCCCACTGTGTATATATATATATATATATATATATATATATAGATATATATATATATATATATATATATATATATATATATATAGATATATATATCTATATCTATCTATCTATCTAATCTCTATCTATCTATATATGACAGACAGACAATCCATGTATATATATTTAAATGGACTGCAGCCTTTTTGTTTAATTAGAAAGTTATAATAGTTTGCATGTTCTCCCTGTGCCTGCGTGGATTTCCTCCGGGTACTCCAGTTTCCTCCCAAACTACAAAGACATGCTGGTAGGTGAATTGGCTCCTGTCTAAATTGGCCTTAGTATGTGTATGTATGAATGTGAGTTAGGGATCTTAGATTGTACGGAAAGAAGAATTGAGCAACCAAATGCATGAGCTCCTGCGCTGGACAGTGAACTCCACAATGTCAGTATCCCCACATAATTAAGAAAGGAATGCAAGCCTTGCTGCCCTCAACGGACCAGGGAAATCCAAAGAGAACTGTATGTAAGAAACAAAAAGAGGAAGCACGGGCCTGGTGCATTACCTTAAAAAATGAGATTTATTTATAAATTGTAAAATACTCACAAGAGAAACAAAATTAGATCAAAATGAGAATAATGTTGCAAGGGATGCAGAGTGGTCCAGGAACCCCTAAAGGTGGTCTGGTGGGGACTGTGAACCGCTGGATAGCTGGTGTCTGACGCGTTTCGAGGTTGTACCTCTTCCTCAGAGCCAGTGTTAGATTTAGATTGTACGCCCCTTGAGGGTTAGGGACCTTAGACTGTACGCCCCTTGAGGGTCAGGGACCTTAGATTGCACGCCCCTTGAGGGTCAGGGACCTTAGATTGTACGCCCCTTGAGGGTTAGGGACCTTAGATTGTACGCCCCTTGAGGGTTAGGGACCTTAGATTGTACACCCCTTGAGGGTTAGGGACTGATGTGAATGTACAATATATATGTAAAAGTGCTGCGTAAACTGATGGCGCTATATAAGTACCTGTAATACACACACTTGAAATGCGTTTTTATTACAAAATATATGAAAACTATTTTTAAACATACATTTCAGATATACTGTATTTCTTTAAAAATACAAATTTACATTTTTGGAATGCATTTACAAATAGATGTAAAAATATATATGTTATAATTACTTTTTTTACATGGTAAAAAAAAATCTGAAGAATATATTTTTTAAAAATATATTTTTAAATATATTTCTTCAGATTTTTTTTAACATATAATAAGTCATTTTAACATATATATTTTTACATATATTTGTAAATGCATTCCAAAAATGTAGATTTGTATTTTTAAAGAAATACATTATATCTGAAATGTATTTTTAAAAATACTTTTCATATATGTTGTAACAAAACACATTTCAACATGCAGTGTGTTGTATATATATATATATATATATATATATATATGTGTGTGTATATATATATATATATATATATATATATATATATATATTTTATGTTTGTTTTTTTATTGAAATATATTGAATATGGCTAAAATTGTAGTATTTCAAATATATTTTTCTTCCATATGGGTTTAGCAGTCTAGGCTATGGTACAGCAGGCAATCCTCACCTGGCACACGATGACATGCTGTGAACACACCACCAGCAGATTGCATTCAAACTTCTTAATGATTTTCTCCTTCACTCGGTAATGCATGTCAGCGGCATCCTCAGAATACAACTCATAGATGAGGATCTTCTCTGGCATCTGAATGGCCAGTCTGTTCTTATAGATTGCAATCTTCTTTACCAACTCCCGGCACTTAATTCGCACTGAAACCGGAAATAAAGAAGCTTATTTGATATGCTCAGAATCATAGCTGATTTACGGTCTGTCACCAATAAAAGTCTGCCTTACTGTCTTGAGTGCAAGGGCCAAGTCTGAGGTGTAAGCTCCAAGTATGACTTCCTGTCTGGGGTGTAAGCTCCAAGTATGACTTCCTGTCTGGAGTATAAGCTCCAAATCTAACTTCCAGTCTGGAGTACAAGGGCCAAGTCTGAGGTGTAAGCTCCAAGTATGACTTCCTGTCTGGGGTGTAAGCTCCAGGTATGACTTCCTGTCTGGGGTGTAAGCTCCAAGAATGACTTCCTGTCTGGGGTGTAAGCTCCAAGAATGACTTCCTGTCTGGGGTGTAAGCTCCACGTTTGCGACTACCTGTCTGGGGTGTAAGCTCCACGTTTGACTTCCTGTCTGGGGTGTAAGCTCCAAGTTTGTCTTCCTGTCTGAGGTGTAGGCTCCAAGTTTGACTTCCTGTCTGGGGTGTAAGCTCCAATTCTGACTTCTTAGCTGAGGCATAAGTTCCTGACATGGCTGGGGATTCTCTCCTCACCCCATGTGACAATGCTATGTGCCTTAAAATAAACAGTAAACATGGGGAAGAACCCTGCAAACTGATCTCTTCTCTGTATGAACGTCTCCTCACCCCAGTCTCCTCTGATCTTGCCTACTCTCTCAAATTCCGATGGGTAACAGATATTGGGGCTATTGATGATGAGGAATGGGAGGAAGTCCTAGACAACTGCAAAAAGCTTTCAGCTAAGATGCCGGACCGTCTTACTCAACTCTACATTGTGCATAGGGCATACCTTACAACAACTCAATTTGCACATGAGAACTGACAGGGATTCTTCTTATTATTATTATACAGGATTTATTTAGCGCCAACAGTTTGCGCAGCGCTTTACAATATAACGGGGGGCGGTACAATTACAATACATTTCAGTACAGAAGGGATAGGAGGGCCCGGCTCGTGGAGCTTACAATCTAAAGGAAGGGGGAGGTGATACAAAAGGTGATAGCTGCGGGGAATGATCTGGCGGAGGTGATTCAAGTACAGTTCTTAGGTGGGGTAGGCTTTCCTGAAGAAGTGAGTTTTCAAAGATCGCCTAAAGGCAGACAGGGTGGGGGCTGACTGGACATGCTGTGGTAGGGAGTTCCAGAGGATGGGAGAAGCTCTGGAGAAGTCCTGGAGGCGAGCGTGGGAGTTGATGAGGGAGCTAGAGAGGATGATATCATGGGAGGAGCGGAGTGGGCGATATCTGTGGATGAGGTTGGTGATGTAGCTAGGGGCAGTGTTGTGGATGGCTTTGTAAGCTGTGGTATCTTGAATTTTATACATTGGGTTAGTGGAAGCCAGTGAAGGGATTGGCAGAGAGGGGTAGCAGTCGCTGATCGGTTGGTAAGGTGTACGAGTCCAGCAGCAGTCGCTGATCGGTTGGTAAGGTGTACGAGTCTAGCAGCAGTCGCTGATCGGTTGGTAAGGTGTACGAGTCTAGCAGCAGTCGCTGATCGGTTGGTAAGGTGTACGAGTCCGGCAGCAGTCGCTGATCGGTTGGTAAGGTGTACGAGTCCGGCAGCAGTCGCTGATCGGTTGGTAAGGTGTACGAGTCCGGCAGCAGTCGCTGATCGGTTGGTAAGGTGTACGAGTCCGGCAGCAGTCGCTGATCGGTTGGTAAGGTGTACGATTCCGGCAGCAGTCGCTGATCGGTTGGTAAGGTGTACGAGTCCGGCAGCAGTCGCTGATCGGTTAGTAAGGTGTACGAGTCTGGCAGCAGTCGCTGATCGGTTGGTAAGGTGTACGAGTCTAGCAGCAGTCGCTGATCGGTTGGTAAAGTGTACGAGTCCGGCAGCAGTTGCTGATCGGTTGGTAAGGTGTACGAGTCTGGCGGCAGTCGCTGATCGGTTGGTGAGGCGTACGAGTCTAGCAGCAGTCGCTGATCGGTTGGTGAGGTGTACGAGTCTAGCGGCAGTCGCTGATCGGTTGGTAAGGCGTACGAGTCTAGCGGCAGTCGCTGATCGGTTGGTAAGGTGTATGAGTCTAGCAGCAGTCGCTGATCGGTTGGTAAGGTGTACGAGTCTAGCAGCAGTCGCTGATCGGTTGGTGAGGTGTACGAGTCTAGCGGCAGTCGCTGATCGGTTGGTAAGGCGTACGAGTCTAGCGGCAGTCGCTGATCGGTTGGTAAGGTGTATGAGTCTAGCAGCAGTCGCTGATCGGTTGGTAAGGCGTACGAGTCTAGCGGCAGTCGCTGATCGGTTGGTAAGGTGTATGAGTCTAGCAGCAGTCGCTGATCGGTTGGTAAGGCGTACGAGTCTAGCGGCAGTCGCTGATCGGTTGATAAGGTGTACGAGTCCGGCAGCATTTGCTGATCGGTTGGTAAGGTGTACGAGTCCGGCAGCAGTCGCTGATCGGTTAGTAAGGTGTACGAGTCTGGCAGCAGTCGCTGATCGGTTGGTAAGGTGTACGAGTCCGGCAGCAGTTGCTGATCGGTTGGTAAGGTGTACGAGTCTGGCAGCAGTCGCTGATCGGTTGGTGAGGCGTACGAGTCTAGCAGCAGTCGCTGATCGGTTGGTGAGGTGTACGAGTCTAGCGGCAGTCGCTGATCGGTTGGTAAGGCGTACGAGTCTAGCGGCAGTCGCTGATCGGTTGGTAAGGTGTATGAGTCTAGCAGCAGTCGCTGATCGGTTGGTAAGGCGTACGAGTCTAGCGGCAGTCGCTGATCGGTTGGTAAGGTGTATGAGTCTAGCAGCAGTCGCTGATCGGTTGGTAAGGCGTACGAGTCTAGCGGCAGTCGCTGATCGGTTGGTAAGGTGTATGAGTCTAGCAGCAGTCGCTGATCGGTTGGTAAGGTGTACGAGTCTAGCAACAGCATTCATAATAGACTGAAGGGGGGATAGCCTGTGTAACGGTAGACCAGTGAGAAGGGAGTTGCCGTAATCGAGGCGGGATATAACCAAGGCGTGGATGAGTTGTTTTGTGGTGTCATTGGTCAGGAAGGGGAAGATTTTGGAAATGTTCCGGAGGTTGAGGCGGCAGGATTTAGCCAGTGAGTGGATGTGGGGCCCAAAGGAAAGGTCAGAGTCTATGATTACACCGAGCACCCGGCATGAGGGGAAGGACCAATGGTTGTGCTGTTGATCTTAATGGTAAAGTCGTGAGTGGGGGATCGGGGGGAGGAAATATTACAAGCTCAGTTATTATTGTCCTAAATGTCATGTATCCCCGGGAACGTTTCCCACTTGATATGGCAATGTCCACGGATAAAAGGATTTTGTACCCAGGTAATACAGTTTTTACATGACCGCATGGGTTCTCCTATACCGGGTGTTGGCAACCCACGGCTCCAGAGCCGCATGCAGCTCTTTTTTCACCTTGGCTGCGGCTCCGGAGCACACTGCCCACCAGGTGACAGGCAATAGGGCAGCAATGGGCAAACTATGGCCCGGCGGACCTTTTAATCCGGCCCGCGGAGCTAGGCTCCCGCTAGGCTCCTCTCACAGTCCGCCCTGAAGACCGGTGTAGCATGAAAATCTGTCTCCTATGAGGATCTGTCCCCCCTCGACGTATCTGCGCATGTGCCGGAGATCGCCGATCGGCTGCTAATGCCTGAAACTGGCACATGCGCAGATACGTCGAGGGGGACAGATCCTCATAGGAGACAGATTTTCATGCTACACCGGAACGGCGCGGGACACGGCGAGAGGAACGCGCGGAGCAAAGGTAAGTGAATTGACACAGGGGGGACTTGGGGACTTAATATGGGGGGTGAATTAATATGGGGGATGAATTACTATATGGGGGATGAATTAATATGGGGGATGAATTACTATATGGGGGATGAATTACTATGTGGGGGATGAATTACTATATGGGGGGGTGAATTACTATATGGGGGATGAATTACTATATGGGGGATGAATTACTATATGGGGGATGAATTACTATATGGGGAATGAATTACTATATGGGGGATGAATTACTATATGGGGGATGTATTTTTAGTTTTAAAAATGTGGCTCTCAAAATAAATTTCAATCGTGGTTTTGGCGAGATTTGGCTCAGTTGAAAAAAAAGGTTGCCCACCACTGGCCTAAGGCTATGATTGTGATTATGACGATACACTGTGGCCCTGATTAACCCTTTGCTTACTGGGCCCTTAAACCCCCTTCATGACCAGAGCGCTTTTTGCAATATATGCAGTGTCGGATTTGTTTTAAATGTTGCAATGGTTTTGCGGCTCCCAGCCTTTTTTTCCCCTCTCGGAAACGGGTCCAAGTGGCTCTTTATGTCTTAAAGGTTGCAGACCCCTGTCCTATACCCTTGGATCTAAAACCCTGCTTATTGGGAATTATCCGATTCAGAAGCTGATAGGCATTTGACTACTTTTTTACATGAAACCGTGTAGTGCCAGGAAATTGGTAGCCCGCCATTGGATGCAGGCGCTCTCTCCTACATTGGAGGAGGAGGAGTGGATGGCAGACATTAACAACACTCTGCCTTTGAAGAAAATGATATTATAGAGGCTGTCATAGCAAATATAATAAAATAGGGGATCGATGGTTGCAATCTGCGAATACCTGCACCTAGATGGGATAGGTATGGCATGGCCCCATATATGGACTGTACATTTGTTTTTTCCCGTTTATTCGTTGTATAGACCACAACTGCTTTAATGCTTCCGAACATCCCTTTATGCCAGCTTGTCAAAACCTTTAGGCTACATTCCTCAGCAGATGTAGCTATACAACCCATACTGGCTGTGTGCTGCTCACCTTTCTGCTCGGTGATGAGGTGCTGCACTATGACGTCAGTCATACAGTCCCTGAAGGCATACCGGTCCTTATACAGACCATGCACTGTGCTGAAGATGAGCTGATAGAAGGCAAGGGTCCCATCCTGGCAGCCAATCACCTGGAGGACAACACAAATTTACAGGTTACAATTTCATTCATCCTTGTAAGAATCGAAAAGAACTACGGTACATTAGTAGAAACCAAAAATTGATTTACGAAGATACACAGAAGAGAGAATTTAATGAAGGTCTTGTTCACGCCTTGTGTCATCCTTACCACATAATTGGAATCAGGTTTGACTCTGCAGGTCCACACCCAGGAATTCTGCTCCCCGATAGTGCCAAGGCGTACCCCGTCTTTGGTAAACAGAGACACCTGCTTGTCAGATCCGCTCAGAATGATATATTCTCCTTTGGAAAAGTAGCTGACACAGCAGGGATCGAACCCCAGAGCCCTGTCCTTTCCAACCTGCAATAAGGAAAGAAGTATATACACAATCTTATATATTTCAAAAAACGGACCGCGCTGAGGTCACAAATTGACAAAATAAAAATGTGCAATCTTTAAAGTGATAACACTGAGCAAAATACAAATAAAATATTAATATTCAGTCCCAACATTTGAATAATTGGTGCAACGGTGCTGTATCTTTAACGGTGGTACTCCATACTGACATGACAAGAGCTTCACTGTGTTCACACTGGTGCCCCACATAGATGTAAGCTCACCGTCATTTCATGACCACCTATCTCTAGGTAAGTCACACTCAATTTTTGGGACTATCCAAGTTTGCAATCTGGTCCTGATGGCCGATATTCCTTCACCCTCAGGACCGGACTGCAAACTGGGATAGTCCGAAAAAGCGAGTGTGACCTACCTAGAGATAGGTGGTCATGAAATGACGGTGAGCTTACATCTATGTGGGGCACCAGTGTGAACACAGTGAAGCTCTTGTCATGTCAGTATGGAGTATCACCGTTAAAGATACAGCACCGTTGCACCAATTATTCAAATGTTGGGACTGAATATTAATATTTTATTTGTATTTTGCTCAGTGTTATCACTTTAAAGATTGCACAGTTTATTTTGTTAATTTGTGACCTTAGCGCGGTCCGTTTTTGAAATATATAAGATTTTGTGTTTAGAAATTCACATTTAGGACTGCTGCTATATAGGTATCTTATAGTTAATTCTTTCATATATATGTTAATTCATTTTTTTCCCAAGCACAGCAGCAGCCCTTTTATTTTCAGGTATATACACAAACAAGCACATTTTACATTGGCATTCCCTGTATCTGCACCAGTACACACACACACACTGCAAGCAATCATTCATTCCTTGTTATTCTACAACACTTTCTTTATTTTAGGCTTCATAGCCAAAACCAAACACAGATGTTTTCTGGAAATTACAGTTGCAAGAAAAAGTATGTGAACCCCTTGGGATTACGTGGAGTTTTGCATGAATTGGGCATAAAATGTGCTCTGAACGTCATCTAAGTTACAACAATAGAAGAACACAGTCTGCTGAACATAATACTACACAAACATTAGATGTTGCCATGGTTTCATTGCACATAACATGTAAACATTCACAGTGCAGGGAGGAAAAAGTATGTGAGGCGCTAGCTTAATGACTTCTCCCAGAGCTAATTGGAGCCAGGAGGGAGTCAACCTTGACTCCAATCAGTGTGATGATATTGGATGTGTTGCTGACAGCTGTCCTGCCCTTAAAAAACACACACCTGTTTTGGGTTTACTGGTTTCAAGAAGCACTGTCTGATGTGAACCATGCCTCGCAGAAAAGAGCTCTCAGAAGACCTACGATCAAGAATTGTTGACTTGCATTAAGCTGGAAAGGGTTACAAAAGTATCTCCAAAAGCCTTGATGTTCATGTGCCCACGGTAAGACAGACTGTCTACAAATGGAGAAAGTTTAGCACTGTTGCTACTCTCCCTAGGCGTGGTCGTCCTGTAAAAATGACTGCAAGAGCACAGCGCAGAATGCTGCATGAGGTAAAGAAGAATCCCAGAGTGTCAGCTAAAGACCTACAGAAATCTCTGGCACATGCTAACATTTCTGTTGACACATCTACAATGAGGAAAACATGAAACAAGAATGGAGTACATGGGAGGACACCACGGAGGAAGCCATTGCTGTCCAAAAAGAAGATTGCAGCACGTTTGAAGTTTGCAAAAGAGCCCCTGGATGTTCCACAGCACTACTGGCAAAATATACTGTGGACAGATGAAACCAAGATTGAGTTGTTTGGGAAGAACACACAACACTATGTGTGGAGAAAAAAAGGCACAGCACACCAACATCAAAACCTCATCCCCACTGTGAAACTTGGCGGAGGGAGCATCATGGTTTGGGGCTGCTTTGCTGCCTCAGGGCCTGGACGGATTGTTGTCATTGATGGGAAAATGAATTCCAGAGTTTATCAAGACATTTTGCAGGAAAACGTACGACCATCTGTCCGCCAACTGAAGCTCCGCAGAGGATGGGTGATGCAACAGGACAATGACCCAAAGCATACAAGTCATTCAACAAAACAATGGCTGCAACAGCACAAATACGCCTTCTGGAGTGGCCCAGTCAGAGTCCTGACCTCAACCCCATTGAAATGCTGTGGCATGACCTTAAGAGAGCGATTCACACCAGACATCCCAAGAATATTGCTACACTGAAACAGTTTTGTGAAGAGGAGTGGTCCAAAATGACTCCAGATCGTTGTGCAGGTCTGATCTGCAACTACAGGAAACGTTTGGTTGAGGTTATTGCTGCCAAAGGAGGGTCAACCAGTTATTAAGTCCAAAGGTTCACATACTTTTTCCTCCCTGCACTGTGAATGTTTACATGTTATGTGCAATTAAATCATGGCAACATCTAATGTTTGTGTAGTATTATGTTCAGCAGACTGTGTTCTTCTATTGTTGTGACTTAGATGACGTTCAGAGCACATTTTATGCCCAATTCATGCAAAACTCCACGTAATCCCAAGGGGTTCACATAATTTTTCTTGCAACTGTATCTGCTTCCCAGATCATATATTCTTGCATTAAAGTGGAACTATAAACAAAAAACTTTTTTTCCCCATTTTGGATAGAGCAAGGGAAAATTATAACAATAAAAAAAACAGAAGGCGCCACCATCCAAGTGTATAAATTTAATTTAAAAAAAAGTAAAAGGGTTAAAATGCACTGACAAGGATGAGAGTAAATGGGCATATCATCAGGCATTCACTGGTGAGCCTCGGTGGACAGCAGGTGGATGGATGGATAAGATGTACCCTTAAAACAGCTTTGCAGGATAGGTGGAATAAAGCTGGACTCAGAATGCAGATTAAGTCCATATGACAGGCTGTGTCTTCCTCCAACAGCAAATATAGCCACACTGGAACGCAAGCCAGCGCTAGGACCGGAATTAGAAGTGACATCGGGACGTATTGACGTCAAAGTGTGATGATGGGCTCTTTTGTCAAACCAGGATTATAACCCGTCAGATTTTTTTTTTTTTTTTTTTTTTTCCGAAATTTGTGTCTTCTTGGGGAGATTTCCCTTCAGTTCCTGTCCAATAGCCAAACAGGAAGTGAGAGGAAATCCCTGCAAAATAAGGGAATTCCTTGGGGAACTTGCTGTTTAACAGGCTAAAACAATGACACTTAGTGGCTGAATGCCTCCCAGCCATGGGACTGAACCAGGGGCGGACTGACAACTCATGGGGCCCCCGGGCAATAGGGGATCATGGGGCCCCTGTGTCCTTGCCCAAACTCAAAAAAGCCTATGAAAAAAAAAAGGTACCAGGGTCATCTCATGGGGCCCCTACTGACCCCGGGCCCTCGGGCAGTGCCCGAGGTTCCAAATGGTCAGTCCGCCCCTGGACTGAACCAGAATTGATGATTTTTATCTATGTATCCAGCTCTGATGAAGAAGGGACCACCCTTCGAAACGCGTTAGCTTGAACAAGCGTTTATCTCCCCTTTGGACGGAACTTGTACGCGACCTGTAACCCTGTGTTGGCTATGGTTATTATATGCCTATTGTACTGCTACTCTTGTGGAGTATATTTTATTAATAAATTCATCTACTGTTTACTGAGGTAATGCGCAAGCTTGGTGCGCTCTCTCTTTTGTTCTCCATTACAATTTATACCAAGTTTCCCCAGCTTTATGACAGAGCTGCACAACCCTTGATCAGTATTGGATGAACATACTATATCATCATTAACATTGTTCCTCTGATCCGAGCCCCTGAGTGCAGGTGTAAGGGATTTCCGGCAAGAAGAATCGCGATCGAGAACACGTATAGGAATTCCCCGCAGAGGAATTGCCGGTTGTGCGCATGCGCAGATTGGCGCCAGACGGCCCATTTAAGGAGTGCCTCTGCTCAGGTTCTGTCAGGGTCCGCCGCGGCGTCTCGTCCAGCGCATGCGCAGTCTCGGCGGCTCGCGCCGGGATACGGGCACTAGGTCCCAGCCGGCCGCGGCTGAGGGAGACTCGCGCATGCGCAGTAGGCGCCGCTGGGCGGCCAATGACAGTGCAGGGCGCGGTATTTAAAGATATCCTGCGCTGTCACAAATCGCCGCAAGGTCTATCCTGTTACCTGAGTTCCTGTATCCCTGTGAGTATTGTTATTTGACCTGGATTGCCCTGACTACGCTGCCTTCTCCTGCTTTTTGACCCGGATTGTTCTGACTACGTTGCCTTCTCCTGTCCTGACCCCCGGCGTGTTTAACCCCTCTGCGGACTGACATTTCCTATACTGACCCTGCGTGTGACCTGACTACTCTTTGCCTGCCGATTCTGTACCTCGCTGCCCCACGGTGACAACTGGCTAGTTTGACCACGATCCATCCATCCATCCTGCCTGGGCCTGCCGGCCTCCTCACATCTCGCTCTCCTCCTGTATCCATCCCCGGCGGTTCCCTCTGCCACGGGTGGGATTGCTCGGAGGTCGTGACCTGGTCCTGGTCTGCTTCAAGTCCATCCCCACCATCAGGGGCCCTGGTGAACACGCAGACTGGGACTTAGACTCCACGCTCTGGGTATTCCTGTCCAGTGGGCTGCCAGAGGCACCACCTGGCGGACCCGTAACAGGTTCAGTGCTGACTGGTCTTCAGCTCCCCCCCGTCCTGCTTGTTCCTGTACGATTCCTCTGTTATCCACCCGGCTTGTTCCTGACCCGACTTGGATTACTCTCCTGATACCGGTTCCTGACTTCGGCTCTGCTCCTGACCTTGGCTTTTCCTTCTGATTCTGTACCGTGCTGCCCAACTGTTGATGACCCTGGCTATCCCATGACTCTGCTCCAGTCTCTTGTCCTCACTACCTACCTTGCTCTGCTGCACGTCTGGCAATCCACAGAACCTGCTCTGTCTATTATTACGGTGTCCAAATCAGAGGATCATCAGCCTTCCAAGGTCATCATCTGCAAGAGCTGCAAACAACAACCACTGGCGCTCTTGTCCCCCAGGTCCCTAGACTCCCTCTGTTCCAACATCAGTGGGGTCAGGGCTAGTGACACAAGTGAGGCCGACCTCGTCAATTCAGTCTCCCATCAGGTACGTGACAGCAGGAGATGGTGGATGTATTCCTTGAGGACCCCCAGACCACCATAACTAGTGTCCCCATTAAAAGTTTTCCTTTCTATTACATTTCTGAGGACAACCTAAGATGTAGGATTTTCTTTTACTTTCACATGATAATGGTAAACAGGACAAAATAGTGAGGGTGAATCTCCTTAACAGCAAAAACAAAAAATGACTGGTGTGCCAATCCATCTCCACTCTATTCAAAACTAAAAAAAAAGTTTTACTTTTAGTTATATTTTTATTTTTTTTTTCATTAAAAGTAGCTGAATAACTCAATCAGTACCTGTTTTCCGCTGAGCTGATAAAAAGAAAGCTTCTGGCCCCAGTCCGCCACAGCCAGGATGTCGTTGTGCTCATCCCTGACATAAAAAGAGGCATAGAACATACAATGAATTTCAGCAACTTAGTTACCATTTGATAAACAGGTCAAGTAAAATAATCCTCAACAACAGTCTCTGTAATGAACTAAAATGCACAACGCAGAACTCTAGAATTGTAAAAAAGCACATTTTAAATAGTGAGTTAATTCCTGGAGTTCTTCAAAATGACAAAAACGTTAGGACCGAGCAGGGGCGGACTGACAACTCATGGGGCCCCCGGGCAATAGGGAATCATGGGGCCTCTGTGTCCTTGCCCAAACTCAAAAAAGCCTATGGAAAAGGTACCAGGCAGGGGCGGACTGACAACTCATGGGGCCCCCGGGCAATAGGGGATCACGGGGCCCCTGTGTCCTTGCCCAAACTCAAAAAAGCCTATGAAAAAGGCACCAGGGGCATCTCATGGAGCCCCCTACTGACCCCGGGCCCTCGGGCAGTGCCCGAGTTTCCAAATGGTCAGTCCGCCCCTGGGACCGAGACTCCTGTTTCACCAAGGAGATTTACTAAAACTGGAGCACTCAGAATCCGGAGCAGCTGTGCATGGTAACCAATCAGCTTCTAACTACAGCTGGTTCAGTTATGCCCCGTACACACTATAAGAAAATCAAACGATCGTCCGGTTATCATCGATTGTACGCTGCTGGTCGAAAGCGATGTGCATTTATGCATGAGAATATTGTACGATACAAAGGCATTGCGTACGAACGTCGTAGCGTAGCTGTGGAAATGACGTCATGTACGTGTGACCCTGTAGCCACGCCTTTCGGTGCCGTATTTGTTTTCCCTCAGCGACGGATCTTTCGTGACGAATTTTCGGAATAGTCATGGATACCGTTTCCCGACTGTTTAATGACATTAATGATTGTAATGCTACGAATATTCCGCGGTGTTTATTTTCTTCAGGTTCTTCCGGGTCGTAAGCAGCTTCCGATTATGCGCGGTCTTTCGTATCCAATTCTTTTCGTACGAAAACTGTACACATTTAAACGAAAATCGTTCGTTCTGTTCCCAAACGACAGAAAATCTGATATTTGCACTATCGTTAATTTTGGTTCGTAAGATTGGAATCGGCTGCCGAAAATGATGTACACACCGTCAGAAAATTGCACGATTGCTCGTCGGATGAATACGTTCATCCGATTTTCTTCAGTGTGTACGGGGCATTAAGCTTTGATAAGAAGACCTGGAAGCTGAAGATTTCTGTGCAGAGCTGCACTAGATTTTGCACCATGCACTATTAGTAAATAGCCCGCAGACTGAGTCCAGGGCTGATAACTCACAGGTGATCGCTGCATGAACAATTACATGCAAGCGGCAACGATTAGCCGCGGGGAGCCAGTAGCCTGGAAAACCTGGAAGCCGATTGGCTACCATGCACAGCTGCACCAGATTTTGTACTCTCCAGTTTTAGTAAATCCCCCCCCAAGTTTTTCAGATAGGATATTTCACCAATAACAACAGACATCAGTGTGTGATTTACATAACTAGCATCTGTCCATATCTAGAATATCACTACTAAGCAGATAGACCCTGTAGAGAAAGTATAGGCCCAACCAGGGATTGGGGATAACCAGAGCCCACAGCCAAATGGAGGAAGTCACATTGGCACTTGCAGTTCCCTGGCAATGAAAGGCCTGAGTCAGAATGTCATAGTACACAGTTCATTTTGATTAGGAAGACTGATTTGGGTTCCAGCATGTGGACCAGACAGGGGACAGAGATCCTCTTGTACCATTTATGACATACAGTAGTTGTTTTTTTTTTTTTATTAGTTCTTTCAATCTGCGAGTCCCTTGTTTTTAGATATTTGTGCATTAATGTCTAAATTAATATATATTAAATGGTTTGTTTTCATGTGTATTATTTCAGTTACAGTTGCAAGAAAAAGTATGTGAACCCCTTGGGATTACGTGGAGTTTTGCATGAATTGGGCATAAAATGTGCTCTGAATGTCATCTTAGTCACAACAATAGAAGAACGCAGTCAGCTGAACATAATACTACACAAACATTAGATGTTGCCATGGTTTAATTGCACATAACATGTAAGCATTCACAGTGCAGGGAGGAAAAAGTATGTGAACCTTTGGACTTAATAACTGGTTGACCCTCCTTTGGCAGCAATAACCTCAACCAAACGTTTCCTGTAGTTGCAGATCAGACCTGCACAACGATCTGGAGTCATTTTGGACCACTCCTCTTCACAAAACTGTTTCAGTGTAGCAATATTCTTGGGATGTCTGGTGTGAATCGCTCTCTTAAGGTCATGCCACAGCATTTCAATGGGGTTGAGGTCAGGACTCTGACTGGGCCACTCCAGAAGGCGTATTCTGTGCTGTTGCAGCCATTGTTTTGTTGAATGACTTGTATGCTTTGGGTCATTGTCCTGTTGCATCACCCATCCTCTGCGGAGCTTCAGTTGGCGGACAGATGGTCGTACGTTTTCCTGCAAAATGTCTTGATAAACTCTGGAATTCATTTTCCCATCAATGACAACAATCCGTCCAGGCCCTGAGGCAGCAAAGCAGCCCCAAACCATGATGCTCCCTCCGCCATGTTTCACAGTGGGGATGAGGTTTTCATGTTGGTGTGCTGTGCCTTTTTTTCTCCACACATAGTGTTGTGTGTTCTTCCCAAACAACTCAATCTTGGTTTCATCTGTCCACAGTATATTTTGCCAGTAGTGCTGTGGAACATCCAGGTGCTCTTTTGCAAACTTCAAACGTGCTGCAATCTTCTTTTTGGACAGCAATGGCTTCCTCCGTGGTGTCCTCCCATGTACTCCATTCTTGTTTAATGTTTTCCTTATTGTAGATGTGTCAACAAAAATGTTAGCATGTGCCAGAGATTTCTGTAGGTCTTTAGCTGACGCTCTGGGATTCTTCTTTACCTCATGCAGCATTCTGCGCTGTGCTCTTGCAGTCATTTTTACAGGACGACCACGCCTAGGGAGAGTAGCAACAGTGCTAAACTTTCTCCATTTGTAGACAGTCTATCTTACCGTGGACACAGGAACATCAAGGCTTTTGGAGATACTTTTGTAACCCTTTCCAGCTTCATGCAACTCAACAATTCTTGATCGTAGGTCTTCTGAGAGCTCTTTTCTGCAAGGCATGGTTCACATCAGACAGTGCTTCTTGAAACCAGTAAACCCAAAACAGGTGTGTGTTTTTTAAGGGCAGGACAGCTGTCAGCAACACATCCAATATCATCACACTGATTGGAGTCAAGGTTGGCTCCCTCCTGGCTCCAATTAGCTCTGGGAGAAGTCATTAAGCTAGGGCCTCACATACGTTTTTCCTCCCTGCACTGTGAATGTTTCCATGTTATGTGCAATTAAACCATGGCAACATCAAATGTTTGTGTAGTATTATGTTCAGCAGACTGTGTTCTTCTATTGTTGTGACTTAGATGACGTTCAGAGCAAATTTTATGCCCAATTCATGCAAAACTCCACGTAATCCCAAGGGGATCACATACTTTTTCTTGCAACTGTATGCAGTAGGTGTACGCGAGCGCACATAAGAGAAGGTCAGCCTCTATGCACCAAGGTTACCAAATAAAAACCTCAAAAAAGCAATATAATCAAAAAAGTGCAGCGCTAAAAATATTAAAATACAGTAAAAAGGTACAAGTGAATAAATATCATAAATCATATGGAAATAAGATCATATAAAAGTTCATGAAGTGACTTTAAGTGCTCATAAGTATCCTGCGTTCTCCTAAACTCGGTGCTTGTGCAATCAGGTATGGAAGAAATGCGCACTCACCGGAACGCATAATAAAATGAGCGTTTGAATAATAAATCCTGATGTCATCAAAAGGTCATCTAAAATAAGTCAGGAATAGGGTTGAATCCCTCTCAAGGTAGATGGGTCCTGGGACTTTAAGTGATGGTCAGGACATGATGAAAATGTTTTGTTAAGAAGTGCAACAAAACGGAAGGCCATCATCTCCTGGTGCTTTACAATTTGGGAACAGACTGGTCACTGCTTAGACTTCCTCAAAAGAAATTGACATCCAGTATCCAGTCTCCAGAGAGGGAGCCTCCTGTACACCCTGTGAGCTGCACCCATCCATCCATTAAGGGGAACTCTGGTATTTCCTGACCATCACTTTAAGTCCCAGGACCCATCTACCTTGAGAGGGATTCAACCCTATTATTGACTTATTTTCAGGGTGGATTTGATTTAAATCACTAGTCAGTCAGGCTGGATGTAAATCCTAGTTTTCTACATAAAGACTAATTCTTGCTGGTATAACTGATATACAAGTAGATGAAAATTTGTAGAATAACAACTTCTCATATTAGTTTTTTTATCCCCAGTTTAATAGGTTAATCATTCATATTTGGACAACTTTTCTGTTGTACTTAGGAAGGAGAAGAATAATCATTACCTTAATAATAACAATTTAAATAGATTTATTCAACTGAAACAATAACATTCCAGCATATGGTATTTGCTTAAACATCCATGTTTGGTAACTAAATTTGGCTAAACAAAATATATATATTTTAAGAAACTTAGACTGTCGGCCCCTCCCTCCTCACACTGTCGGCCCCTCCCTCCTCGCACACTGTCGGCCCCTCCCTCCTCGCACACTGTCGGCCCCTCCCCCCTCGCACACTGTCGGCCCCCCTCCCTCCCCGCACACTGTCGGCCCCTTCCCCCTCGCACTGTCGGCCCCTTCTTCCTCACACTGTCGGCCCCTCCTTCCTCACACTCACACTGTCGGCCCCTCCCTCCTCGCACACTGTCGGCCCCTCCCTCCTCGCACACTGTCGGCCCCTTCCCCCTCGCACTGTCGGCCCCTTCCCCCTCGCACTGTCGGCCCCTTCCTCCTCGCACTGTCGGCCCCTCCCTCCTCGCACTGTCGGCCCCTCCTCCTTCCTCGCACTGTCGGCCCCTCCCTCCTCGCACTGTCGGCCCCTCCCTCCTCGCACTGTCGGCCCCTCCCTCCTCGCACTGTCGGCCCCTCCCTCCTCGCACTGTCGGCCCCTCCCTCCTCGCACTGTCGGCCCCTCCCTCCTCACACTGTCGGCCCCTCCCTCCTCACACTGTCGGCCCCTCCCTCCTCACACTGTCGGCCCCTCCCTCCTCACACTGTCGGCCCCTCCCTCCACACTGTCGGCCCCTCCCTCCTCACAGTTAGTTTCACTTTCTTCTTGTGCAGATCTATTCCACTCCAAACAATCAGAAAAATATTGTTTCTATTCTATTCACTGAACTTCTTGCACCTTGGCACTGAAGGGGCTGATTCTGTATTCATCGGTTTGTAGAAGTTAGGATGAAGGTCTTTTTCTTAGCTCTGTTCATGTTATAACATTTTTGCTGTGAAGAGGCATGTGATCTCCGCTGAGTTCAATTCAGTTTTGAGAACTGCAAAAGTAAACCAATCATCTGTGATAATATCTTGTAGGCAGAGAAACTGCCCAATAATCTGACAGAAACCTCTGGAAGAGCGTGACATTGTGAATGGAGTCATGGGATTTATTTACCAAAAAAATTAAACATATACAAGCCTTATTCTACAGAATTAAAAAAACAAATCGTTATTTCATGATGGAATAACCTTTGGATGGTAATAGATTTTCCTCAAAAAGCATTTTATTTAAAAAAATCCGATTTAAATAATAAAATCAGATTTTTTTGATTTTTTTAAAACAATCATTGATTTTTATCCACCCTGCTTATTTTAGATGACCTTTTGATGACATCAGGATTTATTATTCAAACGCACATTTTATTATGCGTTCCGGTGAGTGCGCATTTCTTCCATACCTGATTGCACAAGCACCGAGTTAAGAACGCAGGATACTTATGAGCACTTAAAGTCACTTCATGAACTTTTATATGATCTTATTTCCATGTGATTTATGATATTTACTCACTTGTACCTTTTTACTGTATTTTAATATTTTTAGCGCTGCACTTTTTTTTATTATATTGCTTTTTTGAGGTTTTTATTTGGTAACCTTGGTGCATAGAGGCTGACCTTCTCTTATGTGCGCTCGCGTACACCTACTGCATACAGTTGCAAGAAAAAGTATGTGAACCCCTTGGGATTACGTGGAGTTTTGCATGAATTGGGCATAAAATGTGCTCTGAACGTCATCTAAGTCACAACAATAGAAGAACACAGTCTGCTTCATGAACTTTTATTTCAGTTATACAGTGGGGAAAAATCATTTAAAAATATATATTTACTGTACATTATATTATGGTTTGTTGCAGCCTTGATGAAGGGGGAGTTTCTTTGACCCCTGAAGGTTTTTTTTTCCGGGAACTTCCTGGATGCCTTTTTCTTTTCATATCGGGAATATCACTACTAAGCACATAGACAATGCAAAGAGCCCCAACCAGGACTTGGGCAGAGCCGACAGCCAAATGCAGGAAGTCATGTTGGCTCTTGCAGTTTTCTAGCAGTGGAAGGCCCGAGTCAGACAGTCATAGTGTACAGATTATTTGGATTAGGAAGACTTACTTGGATGGGTTCCAGCATATGGACCAGACAGGGGACAGAGCTCCTCCAGGACGTTCAATCTTCACCTTCTCCTCTCCATTCTTGTTCCTGATACTCACTACACCATTAAACATCCCCAGTGCAAGATACTGGCCGTCATTTGTCCAGCTAGTAACAAAACAAGTTATGTACAATTACAGCAAGCGATGTTCTGTGACAACTTAAAGTGACATAACAGATAAAAGTTTGACATAGAAAGTGCACCCAAACTATATCAGGCCTTCACACATGAGCACTGCCTTTCTATATGGCATCTTAGCACTAAAGTTGGCCATAGACGGTTCGAATCTCAGACAGTTCAGAAGACACTGGCCGAGATTCTAACCATTCATGGGTAGGCCGATTGGATCGACTTGAGTAAAACCAGCCTGCTGCATTTTTGCATGCGATTATTGCCAGCGACTATAGCTGCAAACGATCACTGTGCTCTCCTGGCCAGAACAGCTCCCTGCGCCCCCTGCTGGGAGAACATAATAGCTCTGTAGGGGGGATTCCCCCATCAACACTGACTACATTGATGGGGGAATCAGGTGATTTTCTTTCCTGCAATCTGTGGTTGCATCATCTATGGCCTGCTTAAAGCTCATCTCCAAGATGCTCCGATTCTTCTTTTTTTCTCAATCACAAGACAAACGAGTATAAAAATCTTACTTGTTTTGCCTGAAATCACCTTAATAAGATGCTGTGATGTCAAAAATGTTCACTCTTGTTGTAGCTAGTTCCAGCCGCTGAGAGGAAGATAACTGATGTGCCTTAACCACTTGCCTACCGGGCACTTATACCCCCTTCTTTACCAGGCCAATTTTCAGCTTTCAGTGCTGTTGCACTTTGAATGACAATTGTGCGGTCATGCAACATTGCACCCATATGAAATTTTTATCAGTTTTTTCTCACAAATAGAGCTTTCTTATGGTTGTATTTAATTGCCTCTGGGCGCTTTACTCTTTGCACTATAAACAAAAAAATGCAAAAAATTTGAAAAAAAAAGTTTCTTTGTTTCTATTATAAAATTTTTCAAACAGGTAATTTTTCTCCTTCACTGATGTGCGTTGATGAGGCAGCACTGATGGGCACTAATAGGCGGCACCGATGGGCACTGATAGGCAGCACTGATGGGAACTGATAGGCAGCACTAATGAGGTGTCACGGATAGGCGGCACTAATGAGGTGTCACCGATAGGCGGCACTGATAGGCAGCACTAATGAGGTGTCACGGATAGGCAGCACTAATAGGTGGCACTGATAGACAGCACTGATAGGTGGCACTGACTGGCATCACTGCTGGGCACTGACTGGCGGCACTGCTAGGCATTGACTGGCACAACTGCTAGGCACTGACTGGCACAACCACTGGGCTGCACTGATGGGCACAGGTGGGTGGCATTGGTGGGCACAGGTGGGTGGGCACAGGTGGGTGGCACTGCTGGGCACAGGTGTGTGTGGCACTGCTGGGTGGCATAGGTGGGTGCACTGCTGGGTGGCACAGGTGGGCGGAACTGGTGGGTGGCACTGCTGGGCACCGATCATCAGGGCACTGATCATCCTAGGGTTCCTCTAGAGCAGCGGTTCTCAACCTGGGGGTCGCGACCCCTTTGGGGGTCAAACGACGCTTCCACAGGGGTCGCCTAAGACCATCGGAAAACACATATTTCCGATGGTCTTAGGAACCGAGACACCGCTCCTCGCCGCCGCCGCCCTCCAGGTGTGGGCGGGATGACATGCCGCCCCTGTCATCTGGACACACCTTGAGATCAATCCTCGCCTGTGATTGGCCGTCGGCACTGTAGCTCAGGAGAGGCACACAGGCGGCCAATCACTGGCAAGGAGGTGGAGCTTGGAGAGGAGGAGCCGAGCGGCACCGCGAAGATTGAGCGAGTGAAGAGGAGAGAGAGCGGCCGGAGAAGGAAGACAGCTGACAGGTAAGTGTCGGTACCATGGGAGAGGGAGGGAGCGAGCGAGCCCAGGCTGGAGCAGGGGTCTGCAAGGTAAGTATCATTGGTGTCAGTGGGAATAGTGCCCCATCATTGGTGTCACTAATACCAATAATGGGGCACTATTCCTCCCACTGACACCAATGATGGGGCACTATTCCTCCCACTGACACCAACGATGGGGCACTATTCCTCCCACTGACACCAACGATGGGGCACTATTCCTCCCCCAAATGACACCAACGATGGGGCACTATTCCTCCCCCCCACTGACACCAAGGATGGGGCACGATTCCTCCCCCCACTGACACCAACGATGGGGCACAATTCCTCCCCCCACTGACACCAAGGATGGGGCACAATTCCTCCCCCCACTGACACCAAGGATGGGGCACAATTCCTCCCCCCACTGACACCAAGGATGGGGCACTATTCCTCCCCCCACTGACTCCAAGGATGGGGCACTATTCCTCCCCCCACTGACACCAAGGATGGGGCACTATTCCTCCCCCCACTGACACCAAGGATGGGGCACTATTCCTCCCCCCACTGACACCAAGGATGGGGCACTATTCCTCCCCCCACTGACACCAAGGATGGGGCACTATTCCTCCCCCCACTGATACCAATGATGGGGCACTATTCCCCCCACTGACACCAATGATGGGGCACTATTCCTCCTCCCACTGACACCTATGATGGGGCACTATTCCTCCCATTGATACCAATGATGGGGCACTATTCCTCCCACTGATACCAATGATGGGACACTATTCCTCCTCCCACTGACACCTATGATGGGGCACTATTCCTCCCACCGACACCAATGATGGGGCACTATTCCTCCCACTGATACCAATGATGGAGCACTATTCCTTCCACTGACACCAATGATGAGGCACTATTCCTCCTACTGACACCAATGATGAGGCACTATTCCTCCTACTGACACCAATGATGAGGCACTATTCCTCCCACTGATACCAATGATGGGGCACTATTCCTCCCACTGACACCAATGATGGGGCACTATTCCTCCCACTGACACCAATGATGGGGCACTATTCCTCCCATTGATACCGATGATGGGACACTATTCCTCCTCTCACTGACACCTATGATGGGGCACTATTCCTCCCACTGATACCAATGATGGAGCACTATTCCTTCCACTGACACCAATGATGAGGCACTATTCCTCCTACTGACACCAATGATGGGGCACTATTCCTCCCACTGATACCAATGATGGGGCACTATTCCTCCACTGATACCAATGATGGGGCACTATTCCTCTCACTGACACCAATGATGGGGCACTATTCCTCCCACTGATACCAATGATGGGACACTATTCCTCCCACTGATACCAATGATGGGACACTATTCCTCCCACTGATACCAATGATGGGACACTATTCCTCCCACTGATACCAATGATGGGGCACTATTCCTCCCACTGACACCAATGATGGGGCATTATTCCTCCCACTGACACCAATGATGGGGCACTATTCCTCCCACTGATACCAATGATGGGGCACTATTCCTCCCACTGACACCAATGATGGGGCACTATTCCTCCCACTGACACCGATGATGGGGCACTATTCCTCCCACTGACACCAATGACGGGGCACTATTCCTCCCACTGACACCAATGACGGGGCATTATTCCTCCCACTGACACCAATGACGGGGCACTATTCCTCCCACTGATACCAATGACGAGGCACTATTCCTCCCACTGACACCAATGACGGGGCACTATTCCTCCCACTGACACCAATGACGGGGCACTATTCCTCCCACTGACACCAATGATGGGGCACTATTCCTCCCACTGACACCAATGATGGGGCACTATTCCTCCCACTGATACCAATGATGGGGCACTATTCCTCCCACTGACACCAATGACGTGGCACTATTCCTCCTACTGCAAAATTACAGTTATGAAGTAGCAACGAAAATAATTTTATGGTTGGGGGTCACCACAACATGAGGAACTGTATTAAGGGGTCGCGGCGTTAGAAAGGTTGAGAACCACTGCTCTAGAGGTTGCTGGGGGTTCACGGAGACCTGAAAAAATTATATTAGGGGCTCCTCTATTTTCTATGGTTTTTAAAATGTTTTCATTTTTGCTTTTTTTTTTTCGGCGGAGGGGGGTTGGGGATTGCAAGTAGCTGGTCGTGCCTAGGGCGCAAAATAGTCTAGCACCAGCCCTGCCTGCAACCAGTGGTTGCAAGCAACAAAATGGCATAGTCTATGGCTTGCCCTAATCTACAACACCAATGAAAAGGCATTCAAGCTGATCTTATGAACATAAATGCAAATCTGATTTACCTGCAGCAGGTGATTTTACTGCTCACTTTGTGTTTAGACACAGATTTCTGTTCAGGAGACCACAGACCTAAAAGGCAGAAGACAATACGAGAGATCACTCCTTTCAGAGAACCACAATGTTTAAGAGGCAAAAAAAAAAAAAAAAAAAGAAAAGATAAAAAGCTCACCAAAGTCACTAGAGGAGCAGGAGGCCAGTTGGTGGGTAACAGGATTGTAGGAGACACACTGGATGGAATCATTGTGTCTAACAAAAGACAGTTACATGTTTACTACGGTTGACTAAAAGGCCTAAACAGCATCACAACACCTTCTCCAGAAGCCTCAGGTGAAGCTGCCAACTGCATACTGTTAGACAGGTCAATTTGGCTGTTGGCAAGCTTGCTGGCAAGTTAATTTTTGACCCCTTTTTTTTTTTTATTGACATGCGTTGCCCGGTTCACGTAGTCCTTGCTTCATAAGCCAGTTATAGACTGGGGAGGGTGCCATTTTTTGTATTGTTGATTTGTAGGCGAGTGGGTGCACTGGGCACCCTGGCTGCCATTGTGCTACATGCTGGGTGTCCTTTGCACTCCTGTACCTTTAAGAGGGGTGTGCTCCCTGATGTGCACCTGCCCTTGGTCTATCCTTTAACCACTTCCCGACCGGCTGTTGCATATAAACGGCCGGGCGGTGGCAGTGCAGGTGGCAGTGCAGGGTCGGGTGGACGTTTATAAAAGGCCTTCCTGCACCCTGCTTGTGCGCGCTCCCTGGGAGCGCGCAGCACCGCGATCCAGTGCCCGCTGTGTCCTCCGGACACAGTGAAGCACCGATCGTCAGACAGGACCTCTGTACGAGGTCCCGATCATATGATCACTGATTGGCCAATCAGTGATCACATGCAAAGTAGTAAGCAAGATGTCACTTGTGACATCATTGCTTACTACGTGTGAAATCTGTGAATGATCACAGAGGTCACATGGTACAAGGCTATTCACAACAGCCTTGTACCATGTGACAAGCTGTGACCAATCACAGCTCACTCAGTACTTCTCAATGAGTGCAAGAATGCAGACAGAGAGAAAGAGCAATGATTGCTTTTACATCCTATATGGGTGTAAAAGCAATCAGTGTAAAAAAAAAAAATCTTCGTCACCCCCCACAAGTAGTACAGTGTCACCATGGTGACCCTGTACTGCTAGGGTGACCGTATGTAAAAAAATAAAAATAAAAATAATATAAAAAAAAAATAAAAATGTAAAAAAAAAAATGTTTACAAATTATAATTTTTGGTTATAAACTAATTTGGATTTTTTTTTTTTTACTAAAAAGATAACGGAATGAATTTTGGCCAAGATTTATAATGAAATATTATTTATTTGCAAAATTTTAATAAAAAAAACACTTTTTTTTCAAAATTTTTGGACTTTTTCATTTACATAGCGGAAAAAAAAAAAAAAAATCCCAGCGGTGAATAAATACCACCAAAATAAAGCTTTATCTGTCTCAAAAAAATGGTGAACAATTCATTTGGGTACAGTGTTGCATGACCGCGCAATTGTCATTCAAAGTGCGATAGCGCTGAAAGCTGACAATTGCCCTGGTCAGGAAGGGGGTGAAAGTGTCCGGACTGGAAGGGGGGGAAAGTGTCCGGACTGGAAGGGGGGGGAAAGTGTCCGGACTGGAAGGGGGGTGAAAGTGTCCGGACTGGAAGTGGTTAAATGCATGTGCCTCTACTATGGGGGGGCTCTCAAATTTGTAGAGTTAGGACCACAGAATACCAGGGTGCCGTGATGTGGCTCTGTGACTTACGTATGTATTTGCAAATGTGTGCTAACTAAACCCGTTTTTAACGCCTACTGTTAGACAGGTCAGTTTGGTTGTTGGCAAGCTGGCTGGCAAGTTGATTTTTGAACCCTTTTTTTTTTTTCATTTTTTAGTGACATGCGTTGCCCGGTTCACGTAATCCTTGCTTCATAAGACCCGTACCCTTCGCTCCTCACAGGACCTCCTTCTATCCTGCTCCCTGGTCTCCTCCTCCCACGCACGACTGCAAGACTTCTCCAGGTCCTCCCCCATCCTCTGGAACTCACTGCCCCAATCCATCAGACTGTCGCCTTCCCTCCTCACATTCAGGCGCTCCCTCAAAACCCATCTCTTCAGGGAAGCCTACCCCACCCTCACCTTACGGCCATTCTCCCTCTTTCCTCCCACCACTTCATTCCCCTCAGCCCCTTCCTACTGTACCACTACCCCCTCCCTCCTAGATTGTAAGCTCGAAAGAGTAGGGCCCTCTAACCCCTCGTGTGCTGTTTGTTATTGTTGTACTGTGCCATGTATTGTCCCCCCCCTCTATTGTACAGCGCTGAGCAAACCCTTTGGCGCTATATAAACTCCATGTAGTAATAATAATAATAATGACTAGGGAGGGTGCCATTTTTTGTTGTATTTTTTGTTGTTTTTTTGTTGGAAGCTGCCAACCTCTGCCTCCTAGGCTGTGTACTAGTTCCATTTGTGTTAAAAAGAAAGAGAATATCAATCCAGATATCATTATGCATATCATAAATAGCTGCCAGTTAAACCCACTCACGTGTATTTCAAAATGCCTTCCAGTTTGGAGGTCCATATGATGACACTTTTATCAGCAGACCCCGAGGCAAACCTCTTACCTATAATCACAAGAAGAAAATTCACAAAAAAATAAAAAAAAATTTTTCTCTATTCTCTGATATTAAAGCTCATCTGTCGACTAATATTTCAAATTACACACAATTCAAAAGCCACGTTTTGGCTTTTGCCATCCTACGTCTTACGCCACTTCCGGTGAGTGGAACGCACGCCGAAGCGCTGCGTTCCAAGCGGCCATCTTGTGGTTTTGTGAACAGACACTCTGTCATCTACTGCCAAGCTGTGGGATTTCTGATGCTGTCCTGGATATATTGAGAGTTTCGAAAGCCTTTTGGAGGCAATAAAAACATGCTGATTTTTATTCTATACAATGTGAGTGGCCCGGTGTTTTGATATTATTGCATGCCGGGTGTTGCAGTATTACACTATATGTGTTTTTTTTTTCTCCTACAATATTTGGAGCCTGTCTGGGAGGAGGAGTTTGGAGGTGTTAGAAGGTGGATTAAAGGTCTCATGTGGTGGAGTTCTGGAGGCTGATCAGCAGGGTCTAGGATCCCTAAAATACCTAAAAGGCGTATATTTCACCAGAATCTGGTGAGTGCGGTATATGTTGGTTGAAGCACTGGTTTATGGTGGCAGTACACTTCTTTTCAACAAGGACTTTTTTTGTTTGTTTTTTAAAATATTTTTTTTAATATATTTTTGATTTTTATTTTTTGCCACTTTATATATTTTATAAATTTTACACGATTTTTGGAGTGGGACCATTTGTTTGTTCTATTTAATTTTGATATGTTTTTATATGATTTAATTATTTGCGCTGTTTATGATGTTTTTATATTTTTTGGTGTTTATTGCACTTCCGTACAGCAGCATTTCATTTTATTAATTGGGTATACACATTTCTTTGGCGCTGGGGATTTATGATCAAAAGCCAAGTTTACCTTTTGTAAAAAAAAAAAAAAAAAAAAAAAAAAAAAAAAAAGGCGGTCTGCCTGTACCTCCCATACAGGCAGACAGTTTCTGAAGTCTAGGAAGAATCAATGAACTAGGAGAGCACTCACCAGGGATCTTGTAGTTCATGGAGGACTACAAGCCGTCTGCCACAATGACAGACGGTAGTTTAAGCTCACTAACTGCTAGGAATTTGCGAATGAATGACGTGGTCGCGTCAGCACAGCCCCCGCAGGGCCGTGCTGTTTTTGAATTGTGACAGCGGGTGCGGGGAGAAGGTCACCCATCCAGTGTCACAGGGAGGACTTGGAGGGGTTGCAGGCAAGTGATCTTTGGTAACATGTTACACCCTAAATACTGGTGTATGTAACATGCTACCAAAGGTGAAATTATCCTTTGATGTGAACTTATCCCCAATCTTAGCTGCCAATCTAACAGTTGATGTAAAATCCCCATCTATTTTTATTTAGTGGACTGGATCGGAGGTAGGCGGTTGTAAATGAACAGAAGTCCGTTTACACTTGCCGGTCCATAGGAATGTGAAAGGGGCGTAGTAGTCCTGGATTGCATGTGATGATGCTGAAGGCATGCCTACAGCCTGGAGCGAAGAGAGCGTCAGAGCCTAGAACAGCAATGGGCAAACTACGGCCCGGCGGACCTTTTAGTCCGGCCCGCGGAGCTAGGCTCCCGCTAGGCTCCTCTCACAGTCCGCCCTGAAGACCGGTGTAGCATGAAAATCTGTCTCCTATGAGGATCTGTCCCCCTCGACGTATCTGCGCATGTGCCGGAGATCGCCGATCGGCTGCTAATGCCTGAAACTGGCACATGCGCAGATACGTCGAGGGGGACAGATCCTCATAGGAGACAGATTTTCATGCTACACCGGAACGGCGCGGGAACACGGCGAGAGGAACGCGCGGAGCAAAGGTAAGTGAATTGACACAATATGGGGAATGAATTACTATAGGGGGGATGAATTACTATAGGGGGGATTAATTACTATATGGGGGATGAATTACTATATGGGGGATGAATTACTATAGGGGGGATGAATTACTATAGGGGGGATGAATTACTATAGGGGGGGTGAATTACTATAGGGGGGGGTGAATTACTATAGGGGGGATGAATTACTATAGGGGGGATGAATTACTATATGGGGGATGAATTACTATAGGGGGGATGAATTACTATAGGGGGGATGTATTACTATAGGGGGGATGAATTACTATAGGGGGGATGAATTACTATATGGGGGATGAATTACTATATGGGGGATGAATTACTAAAGGGGGGATGAATTACTATAGGGGGGATGAATTACTATGGGGGGGATGAATTACTATGGGGGGGATGAATTACTATATGGGGGATTAATTACTATGCTTACTATGGGGGAATATTACTATACTTACTATGGATGACACATACACATCATTCATCTACTCTTGGTCCGGCCCCCGGGTCCAATATATGAACCCATTGCGGCCCTCAAGTCAAAAAGTTTGCCCACCCCTGGCCTAGAATATGGTGAGTGACTTACACTTTCATTCTGGAGTTGGTCTTTGAATAATCATAAATTTTAATCATCTGGGTACTTACCATCTTTGGCATATGCCACACAATATACCATATCCTTATGGCCCTTCAATGGCTGAAGTAAGGTTCCATCTGATGTGTCATAGACCTGCAAATACACCAAGAAAATATCTCAATATACCTGAAGATTTACCCAAATGTCAGCATTATATAAATGAACTATTGGTGGTGGGGAAATAACCAAATTATAAAGACTTGTAAACCCTCTCAGACTACTTGAGAGACCCCCTCCCCCACAGCGGCCCCCAGCTCCCTCCAGAAACCTGTCAGTGGCGGCTTCTGCACAGAGCAGAGGCAGCCAACAAGGGAAGCCCCATACTAAGTCTATGGGTGACGTCATTGCCTCTTCATTTCCCAGCCGTTGTCGGCTTTCTTTCTCTACATAGAAGCCACTGGAGACCAGACCGGAGCGGTTTCAGAATAGGTAAATATAGGGATCCTTTCTTCTCAGGGTTAGATAGATTATATTTACTAAAATAATTGCACTTCCATGTTTTGTGTACTGTGGAAGAGCGGATATAGTGAATGCAGGGTCCGGGGAGACCAGATATAGTGAATGCAGGGTCCCCCGAGACCAGATATAGTGAATGCAGGGTCCCCCGAGACCAGATATAGTGAATGAAGGGTCCTGGGAGACCAGACATGTTGAATGCAGGGTCCGGGGAGAGCGGATATAGTGAATGCATGCAAGGTCTAGGGAGAGTGGAAATAGTGAATGCAGGGACTAGGGAGAGCGGATATAGTGAATCCATGCAAGGTCTAGGGAGAGCGGATATAGTGAATGCGGGGTCCGGGGAGAGCGGATATAGTGAATGCGGGGTCCGGGGAGACCAGCTATAGTGAATGCAATGTCTGGGGAGACCAGCTATAGTGAATGCAGGGTCCGGGGAGACCGGTATAGTGAATGAAGGGTTCTGGGGAGAGCGGATATAGTGAATGCATGCAAGGTCCGGGGAGACCAGATATAGTGAATGCAGGGTCCGGGGAGACCGGATATAGTGAATGCAGGGTCCGGGGAGAGCGGATATAGTGAATGCAGGGCCCGGGGAGACCGGATATAGTGAATGCAGGGTCCGGGGAGACCGGATATAGTGAATGCAGGGTCCGGGGAGACCGGATATAGTGAATGCAGGCTCCGGGGAGACCGGATATAGTGAATGCAGGCTCCGGGGAGACCGGATATAGTGAATGCAGGCTCCGGGGAGACCGGATATAGTGAATGCAGGCTCCGGGGAGACCGGATATAGTGAATGCAGGGTCCGGGGAGACCGGATATAATGAATGCGGGGTCCGGGGAGACCGGATATAGTGAATGTAGGGTCCGGGGAGAGCAGATATAGTGAATGCAGGGTCCGGGGAGAGCAGATATAGTGAATGCAGGGTCCGGGGAGACCAGATATAGTGAATGCAGGGTCCGGGGAGACCAGATATAGTGAATGCGGGGTCCAGGGAGACCAGATATAGTGAATGCGGGGTCCGGGGAGAGCGGATATAGTGAATACGGGGTCCGGGGAGAGCGGATATAGTGAATGCAGGGTCCGGGGAGAGCGGATATAGTAAATGCAGGGTCCGGGGAGACCAGATATAGTGAATGCAGGGTCCGGGGAGAGCGGATATAGTGAATGCAGGGTCCGGGGAGAGCGGATATAGTGAATGCAGGGTCCGGGGAGAGCAGATATAGTGAATGCAGGGTCTGGGGAGAGCGGATATAGTGAATGCAGGGTCCAGGGAGACCAGATATAGTGAATGCGGGGTCCGGGGAGAGCGGATATAGTGAATGCAGGGTCCAGGGAGACCAGATATAGTGAATGCAGGGTCCTGGGTTTAGTAACACTTTAAGTTCAAACTCTCACTGTTCTCAGTACTGCTGGAAGATGCCAGTCTATCTATCGTTTCCATAGGTCCTCTAGTGCATTCCGTTGGAATTCTAATAAGATAGACTGCTCAAGCCCTGAAGAAGGGGGAGGCTCTGCCCTCGAAATGGGTTGGTTGTATTAAAAGCAAGTGATATGAACTTTTCCACTAGGTGCTCCTCAGTTCTCATCAAAGAATTTACCATAGGCGAGGGATAAGAGAGTGGGAGTACCTGCTGAGAAAAGGTTCTTGCTACCCAGAAAAAAAAAAAAACAAAAACATGCAAATGTGTAATTGGGGTTGGAAAGGAAGGGGCTAGAGTGAAGATATTTCATTGTATTTGTGAGTGAAGGTTCACTTTAAAGCAGATCCCCAGCTTTTAGTGAGGTTTAAATAGTTTGTTTGGACCAAGCTAGGTGTGCCTGCTATGTGCGCTGTATAAGCTGTAGGTGGTCTCAGCTACATACATGACACAGTGCTGTGTTCCGGCAGTGGGATGAGAGTTTCCTGTCTTGCTCCTAGAACAAAACTTTGTGCCGATTCCCGTTCAGCCATCAACGGGGAGCTTAGTATTCGATGAAGGTATACAAAGCCTCCTCTGATTGGCTGAGTCGGAGAATGTAATGTCACGCAGATGGGCAAGTGGAGCCCTGGATACATGGAGAGGTGGGTGTGTTGTGGAAACAATTCGGCAGAACCACCAGACTGCTTCCATCTGACAGCTAGAAGGCGGCTTGCAGATATTACACACACTCCCAGTGGCTGCAGCCATTGTGTGTAGAACTCAGGGGCGGACTGACCATTTCGGCACTCAGGCACTGCCCAAGGGCCCGGGGTCAGTAGGAGGCCCCATGAGATGCCCCTGGTACCTTTCATATGCTTTTTTGGGTGTGGTTTGAGTGTGGGCAAAGACACAGGGGCCCATGATCCCCTATTTCCCGGGGGCCCCATGAGTTGCCAGTCCGCCCCTGGTAGAACCCAACCACTGTCAGGGCAATACGATGCATGGACCTGGCAGCAAAAGGGTTTTTTAAAAGCCCCTACAGGGCATCAGTTTAGAGTTAACTGTGAATAATGGGCCTAAAAGTATTGATCTCTGTACCACAGTCAATATTTTCATGCATAGGTGCCCCTGATGCATACTTTTTTTTTGGGGGGGGGGGGGGGGGGGGGGGGGGGTTAGAAGGGCTTGAGTGTAACTAGAATTTTTTTCACCTAGGCCCCATGTACACAGGACACTTCTGAATGATGGAAACTGACTGCTGGAAAACGTTGGTTAAAAATCGTCTGTTTAGCCGCGTTTGCATACCACGTTAATGTGCGTTTGCGTTTTTTTAGAAGCACTTTTCAAAGATAAGCACAGGAGAACCTCCCAAATGCCCAGAATGCACTGAAAAGTGGTAAATTATTAACTATTTCAGACTGTTTCAGAGAAATACAGAGAGTAGAAGCAGAGACAGCAGTAAGTGTTGAGATTAGCTGAGGTGTGAGTTGCTCATTAACATTTCTTTTGTTTCCAAGGATGGGAAAGGTGTCTGGTGGAGGGAGTCATTAAGGCCACCTGGCAGGGGGTCTTCATGAGGAATTTGAGGTGTGAATGGTCATTAACATTTCTTTTGTTTCCAAGGGGGGAGAGGTCTGAGGTGTGAATGGTCATTAACATATCTTTTGTTTCCAAGGGTGGGAGAGGTCTGAGGTGTCAATGGTCATTAACATATCTTTTGTTTCCAAGGGTGGGAGAGGTCTGAGGTGTGAATGGTCATTAACATATCTTTTGTTTCCAAGGGTGGGAGAGGTCTGAGGTGTGAATGGTCATTAACATATCTTTTGTTTCCAAGGGTGGGAGAGGTCTGAGGTGTGAATGGTCATTAACATATCTTTTGTTTCCAAGGGTGGGAGAGGTCTAAGGTGTGAATGGTCATTAACATATCTTTTGTTTCGGAGGGTGGGAGAGGTCTGTGGTGTGAATGGTCATTAACATATCTTTTGTTTCCGAGGGTGGGAGAGGTCTGAGGTGTGAATTGGTCATTACAATGTGTGACAAGCTTGGTAGGAACATCCTGTGTTCAGTGTTTTGTCCATCTGAGTACCTTGAAAACGCTTTGCATGCATTTTTTTCATGATGAAAAAAGGTTCTGGACAGCATCAGGAACTGGAAGAGTTAAAAAAAAAATTTCAACCGCAAATGCTTATAAACGCGATTTGCCGCGTTTACAAGCGTTTAGCATTTGAAACGCTGATATAATCGACTGCTGAATGCAAGTTTGGTGCATTCAAAAAAACGACTGTAAACTAAAATGCCTGTAAACGAAGATGTGCACATGGACACATAGGAAAACATTAGGGAGAGTTCAGGGGCTGCTGAAAAGAAAACGCTGAACAGCTCCTAAACGTGCGTTTATCAGCTGCAGTGTACATGGAGCCCTTATTTTCTACTAAACTGTTTTTTTCAGCACACAGGGGACTAAAAGTTCTCTATGTGATGCATTTATTTATTTATTTTTACAAAGCTTCCTTTGATTGGCTGAAGCGGCCAGATGAAGTCACGATCTCCACCTCAGCCAATCAAAGGAAGCTTTGCATTCATTCATAAAATACTAAGCTCCCTGTGAATGGCTGAACAGCGTTTGGGTCCGCCCCTATTTTGTTCCAAGGGTGGGATGGGAAGCCCCCCTCCCACTGCCGGAACACACCGCTGTATGCTGTAGGTAGTGGAGGCTCCACACAGATTATACAGCGCACAGCGGGCACATGGAGCAGTGAAGGTAATAATTCGTCTGGACCAGCTTGGTCCAAATGAACCATTTAAACTTCACTACAAGCTGGAGGTCAGCTGTCACCTATTGCACATGGCAGAGAACATCGAGATTTTATTATTACTGTCAGAACGGTATCCGTGACATCATCACCTACGGTATCCGTGACATCATCACCTACGGTATCCGTGACATCATCACCTACGGTATCCGTGACATCATCACCTACGGTATCTGTGACATCATCACCTACCAGAACTTTATTTCCTGCAGCCACGATCAGCTGTGTCCCGTCAGGTTTGAATGCCAGATCATAGATACTGGAGGAGGAAGAGAACCAGAGGGATGCATTAATGAAGAGCTAACAGAGAGAAGCAAATCTATTACAAGGTAGAATCTGAGATATTGAAGACAATGAAGGAAATGAAAACATTGAAGACATTTGTATCAAATAAAAAAGACAACTGATCCCATCACGGGACGCAGAACGATTTTATTAAGAAACTGTTCTTTCTGGGTATCTAAATACCACTGACCCCCAGCTCCATGCTGTGACCCCCTCACTTACTATGTATGCTGCACCCACCTCCCCCCACTGGCTCATATGCACACTGTGCCCCCCCAGCTCCTATGCACCCTGTGCCCCCCCCCAGCTCTGATGCACCCTGTGCCCCCCCCAGCTCTGATGCACCCTGTGCCCCCCCCCAGCTCTGATGCATCCTATGCCTCCCCCAGCTCTGATGCACCCTGTGCCCCCCCCAGCTCTGATGCACCCTGTGCCTCCCTCAGCTCTGGTGCACCCTGTGCCCCCCCCCCAGCTCTGATGCACCCTGTGCCCACCCCCAGCTCTGATGCACCCTGTGCCCACCCCCAGCTCTGATGCACCCCTGTGCCCCACCCCCCAGCTCTGATGCAGCCTGTGCCCCCCCCCCAGCTCTGATGCAGCCTGTGCCCACCCCCCAGCTCTGATGCAGCCTGTGCCCCCCCCCCAGCTCTGATGCAGCCTGCGCCCCCCCCCAGCTCCCATGAATGCTTTGACCCACCAACCTCCCATGTACACTGTGGCCCCCAGTTCTTATGCACAGATCCTACCTGCTTTGAACACTGAGGCCACCAATATCTGGTCACTACGTAGACTGGGGCCCCCCATCTCCTACCAGTAGTTGCTATGTACACTGAGGCCCCTAAATCCTGGTTGCTACACACACTGGGGCCCCCCAGATCTTTGTTGCTATGCACACTGCCCCCCCCAGCTCCTAGTTGCTGCACACACTGGGGCCCCCCAGCTCCTAGTTGCTACGCACACTGGGGCCCCCTCAGCTCCTGGTTGCTACGCACACTGGGCCCCCTCAGCTCCCGGTTGCTACGCACACTGGGCCCCCCCAGCTCCCGGTTGCGATGCACACTGGGCCCCCTCAGCTCCCGGTTGCTACGCACACTGGGCCCCCTCAGCTCCCGGTTGCTACGCACACTGGGGGCCCCCCCAGCTCCCGGTTGCTACGCACACTGGGGGCCCCCCCAGCTCCCGGTTGCTACGCACACTGGGGGCCCCCCCCCAGCTCCCGGTTGCTACGCACACTGGGGGCCCCCCCAGCTCCCGGTTGTCTACGCACACTGGGGGCCCCCCCAGCTCCCGGTTGCTACGCACACTGGGGGCCCCCCCAGCTCCCGGTTGCTACGCACACTGGGGGCCCCCCCAGCTCCCGGTTGCTATGCACACTGGGCCCCTAAATCCTGGTTGCTATGTACACTGGGGGCCTCAGCTCCTGGTTGCTATGCACTCTGGGGCCTGCAGTTCCTGGTTGCTATGCACAGCCCTCAGGCCTCCTTACCATTGCTCCACCTTGTCCCTGTCATGGACTTTATCCACCCAGGTGGGGACGGCCCTCATGTCTCCGGTATCACCGAGTCCTCACCCGCCCGCTTGCCCGTCTCCTCCGGTCACCACAACAAGTCGGAGCTCATTTCCATTCCGAACCCCTCCTCCTGCCGCTGACAGCATGGATTAACACATGCGCAGAGAACACCTGTACACTGAGCATGCGCCATTCGGGACTTTCCCTATCACCTGTGTCACGTGACAGCATGGCGGGCTTCAGACTGGACAGGTAAGCACATGGAGTGACCGGCAGAGGGGGGAGGGATCAGCCTGGAGCAGAGCCGGTGTCACCGGGCTGGATTTCCTGTCCATGGTATTAGAAATTATGACAAAGTGTTACCCCCCCCCCATATGGTCAGTATATATAATAACAGACTACAGAGTCTGGGGGGAGGGGCAGCTGTGTGTTCAGTTTGTTTACATTCTATTTTTATCTGTTTAAAAAAAAAAAAAAAACTTCCGGTTTTGTGTCTATAAATAAATCATTGCTGAAGTTTGTGATTGCATGACTCCGCACGCCTCGCCATGTAACTGTCACTGAGCGTGTGCACAACTGACCGTTATCACAACCCCGGGGGAGGGGCGGTGTCCCCAAGCAGGGACCCCCTCCACAGGTGAATCCATGTGCCAGTTTGCCAAAATTATAAAGCCAGTGAAAATTGCTCTCATAAATTTGGCACAACATGGCGTGGCCGGAGCATCTACAGAAAGGATCAACGCGGCGTCACGATAACTGTTCACAAAAGAGCGCAGAGAAGCGAAAGACATGGCCAGACTGCCGATTAAAAGTCACATGTGATGGGATTGTTTAAAGATTTCATTTTTTTTAAATTTATTTTTATTTTTGCATGTTTGTATTACGTTTGTTAAAGATTTTATTAATTTTTAAACTTTTTATTTTCATTTATTTTTATATTCTTTTTAAAGATTTTATTAATTTTTAAACTTTTATTTTCATTTATTTTTATATTATCCATTTTTTAAAGATTCATTTTTAAACTTTTATTTTCATTTATTTTTATATTCATTTTTTTAAAGATTATATAAATTTTTAAACTTTTTTTTATTTTCATTTATTTTTATATTTGATATTAATTTTTTTAAAGGCTATATACATTTTTTAACTTTTTTATTTTCATTTATGTTTATATTAATTTTTTTAAAGATTATATTCATTTTTAAACTTTTTTTTTTATTTTCATTTATTTTTATATTTTATATTCATTTTTTTTAAAAGACTATATTCATTTTTAAACTTTTATTTTCATTTATATTCTTTTTTTGAAGATTATATTCATTTTTAAACTTTTTTTTTTCATTTTTATTTTTATATTCATTTTTTAAAGATTTTATTCATTTTTAAACTTTTATTTTCATTTATTTTTATATTTTATATTCATTTTTTAAAAGATTTTATTCATTTTTAAACTTTTTTTCCGGTCGTTAATAACATTCAGGTGTATGCACTATATTTTGTTTTTCATTTGCTAATTTTTTTTCCTACGAAAGTGGAGTTACCCTTTAATTTATTTGGAAACTTGCGGTGAAATTTAGTTTGCACAAATCTTTATGCCATTTATTTAGTGAATGTTTTATGAATAGACCCCCAAATGTATCCATGTTTTTTTTTCCCTTGTAGTATCAAGACAGAACCCCTGGACGTCTCACAACGATTGTGCGAGGATAAAGGATCCCAGAAAGTTGAACCCTCTGAAGATGGAACTTCCGATGTCCCCGGAACGCTTCCCCTTGGCTGGAGAAAGATCGTTACACAGAGAAAGACGGGGGAGGACGGCCGGGAGACATGATGTGTACTTTATAAGGTGGGGTGGTGACCTGTAACCCCTTCAGTACCGGACACTCCCCCCCCCCCCCCCCCCCCCCCCCCTTCCTGCCCAGGCCAATTTTAAGCTTTCAGCAATGTCGCAATTTGACTGACAATTGTGCGGTCATGCAACGCTGTACCCATATGGATTTTTTATAATTTTTTTGAGACCAGAGCTTTTTTTGGTGGTATTTAATTGCCACGGGGGGGGGGGGGGGGTTATTTTTTGCTAAACAAAATTAAAAAAAAAAAAGACAAAAACATTTTGAGAAAAAAAAGGTTTTCTTAGTTTCTGTTATAAATGTTTACAAATAAGTAATTTTCTTCTTCACTGATGGGCGCTGATGAGGCTGCACTGATGGGCACTAATAGGCGGCATTGATAGGCACTGATGGGCACTAATAGGCGGCATTGATAGGCACTGATGGGCACTAATAGGCGGCATTGATAGGCACTGATGGATATTTATAGGCACTGATGGGCACTAATAGGCGGCATTGATAGGCACTGATGGATATTTATAGGCATTGATGGGCACTGATGGATCATTATAGGCACTGATAGGTGGCACTGATGGGCATTTATAGGCACTGATAGGGAGCACTGATAGGTGGCATTGATAGGCACTGATAGGCAGCACTGATGAGGCATTGATGGGTATTTATAGACACTGATAGGCAGCACTGAGGAGGCACTGATGGGCATTTATAGGCACTGATAGGCAGCACGGGTATGCGGCAATGATGGGCTTTTATAAGCACTGATGAGGAGGCGCTGATGAGGCATTGATAGGCACTGATGGGTATTTATAGACACTGATAGGCGGCACTGAGGAGACACTGATGGGCATTTATAGGCACTGATAGGCAGCACGCGTATGCGGCACTGATGGACATTTATAAGCACTGATGAGGAGGCGCTGATAGGTGGCATTGATAGGCACTGATGAGCATTTATAGGCACTGATAGGCAGCACTGATGGGCATTGATAGGCAGCATTGATGAGGCTCCACTGATATGCGGCACTGATGGGCATTTATAGGCACTGATTGCACTGATGAGGAGGCACTGATGGGCATTTATAGGCACTGATAGGCAGCACTGATGAGGCTCCACTGATGGGCATTTATAGGCACTGATAGGCAGCACTGATGAGGCTCCACTGATGGGCATTTATAGGCACTGATAGGCAGCACTGATGGGCACTAATAGGAAGCACTTATGGGGCTGCACTGATATCAGGGCTCTAATCATCAGTGCCCTGATTATCAGTGTAAATATCCCATGTCAGAATTGTCGGCTACCGGCTCTTCTCTCCTCTGCTTCCTACTGCGCATGCACGAGTCACGCTGTGTTTGATTAATAATCCTGCAGGCTTCTGGGACCTTTTATGTTTCCCAGAAGGCTGCGGGGGAAGAAGTGGCTGCCGAACTTTCGTCTCAGATCGCTGAAGCGCATCTGACCGGAAGTGGGAGCAGGTATCTGTCAAAACCAGTGAGCCAATGAGGAGAGAGAGGGGGCAGGCTTGAGGTGTGGCTCTGTCTGGGAATGAGTCTGCTTGGGTGCCCTCATAGCAAGCTGCTTGCTTTGGGGGCAATCGGCAGGAGGGAGGGGCAAGGAGCATCGGCAGGGGACCTGAGAGGAGGATCATCAGGGCAGCTCTGTACAAAACCATTACAAAGAGCAGGTAAGTATGATATGGTGTGACGGGAGTCACTTTGGGTGGGGGGGCCCATGGAACCCAGCTCACTTTGGAGAAGTGGGGAGACCCCTGTCTCACCTCCCCATATCCCTCTTATGTGTAAGTCACCCTGTGCCTGTTAGGGATACAGGGTGATCTGTCCTAATATTGGGGTGGGGGGTTGTGAATTGTTTAATTCCATGTGGTTGCATCCCATTGTTCTATTGTGTCTTGCTTGGGAGCAAACTATTATGGGATGTATGTGTTTCTGTGTATTGGCTTGGTGGGGGGTGTCTCCAGCAGCCCTCCCTCCTGATGGGACTGTCTGCTGGTGAGTCTCTTGTTACTAAAGGTAGATTGCCCCACCCTGTGTCATTACACAGGGAGGGGGGATTGTTCCCTTGAATGTATATATCTTGTATCTGTGTTAAAATAAAGTAGTCTATTTCCTGGTTTACTTCAAGATTGGTGTCGTCTAGTCTTGTACGGTCGGCTGTGTTGTCTGTGGTCGGTGTTCGGATGGGGAAGCGGTAGTCTAACGGAAGTACCCAAGTGCAGTTGGGGTCCAGTTCCGTTACACGTTTTTTTTTTGTTTTTTTTAAACTTGCCTTTTTATATCATTTTAAAGGCTTTAGAACCACTTTATTGAGAGGAAACTCAGCCTGTCCCCACTTTGTCCCTCCACTTTTACTTTCAATCTGTTCAGAGTACCTGCAGGCTGCTCCAAAGAAACAACTATAAAAGTAAGAAGCTATTTTTTTTTTTTTTTAAGGTATGCTTAGTAAATGGGAACACATTACAAATGTATAGTGGAGGTTTCGCAAAGAAATTGCAAATAAAAGCTTCCCACAAAGAAGAAAGTAATTACTCCCTTCTGCTGCTGCCCCACATTGCTAATGAAGAGAAATATCTGGCTGAGGTCTCTGGTGTAAACCTCCTGGTCTGCTCCGTGGTTCCTCTTGCAAACCCCTACTGTTTTCTGTACTGACATAGGATTTGGTGGAAGGAAACCAGTGAGCATAGCGAAGGGGAGGAGGAGGGGAACCAGAAGTTCTGGAGAAAACTTCAGAAGACCATTTCTCCTAATTAGAATGGGGTTCAGTGGTGAGGGCAAGGTACCTTCTTCTTTGCAGGTCTGGCTTTTATCTGGATGGTCCACCGTTGTCACTATCTGTAAGCCAGTCCAGAGCAATGATGTGCAGCCAGCCTTGGAGACAGTTGAAAGAGGCTGGTAGAGATTGGCAGCGATGGAATGGGAAAGAGGTGAAAGAAGCAAAACCATAGTAATAGTTTGTGATGCACAATGCTTTAGCCTTCATTTGGGGTTTAAAGTATAAATCCTCCCCTTTTCTCTTTTCATAGCCCTGAAGGAACCAAGTTTCGATCGAAAATTGCTCTCGAAAAATATCTTAACACCAATTATGCTGAGATTAAACTAGAAGATTTTGACTTCTCAGTTCCTTCTCAACAGAGGCACGGAACAAGTATAATCGCAGAGTTCATTAAAATGGATAATGGAGAGAGATCAGCCACCCATTGTAGTGTGCCAGAGGAACACAAAGGCCCTACTAAAGACCATCCCGAAGACCCTGGTGGTGACCATCCCGAAGACCCTGGTGGTGACCATCCCGAAGACCCTGGTGGTGACCATCCCGAAGACCCTGGTGGTGACCATCCCGAAGACCCTGGTGGTGACCATCCCGAAGACCCTGGTGGTGACCATCTTGAAGACCATGTGGATGATACACAAAATGTAGAAGATCCATTTATTGAGGATGAGTATAACAGAACGATGACAATGAAATATGTTGGCCGGAAGAGAGTCAGAAGTCACAGAAAAGGATCAGAAAGAGCCTTGAAGACTGTCACCAGAATAAAGCGTCCAAGAAAATATTCTTCCCTTAAAACAGAGATGCTGATAAAAACAAGGAAATGCAAGAGAAGGAACATTTTGAAAGAGCCCAGAAAAGAAGCATCAAGTGAAACAGACTCATTAAGCGAATATCGACTACAAAACCCACATAGGGAGGTTGACTGTAAGGTCGAAGATCCCACAGACCTCTGTGTCCCAGTGGCGGTCAAAGAGGAAGCAGAAGATTGGACATCCACACCGCCACTGGAGCAGCAGCCTGAAGCTGAGAGTGATCAGAAGAGCAGTAATTCGAGCGATGTCCCAGTGGCGGTCAAAGAGGAAGCAGAAGATTGGACATCCACACCGCCACTGGAGCAGCAGCCTGAAGCTGAGAATGATCAGAAGAGCAGTAATTCGAGCGATGTCCCAGTGGCGGTCAAAGAGGAAGCAGAAGATTGGACATCCACACCGCCACTGGAGCAGCAGCCTGAAGCTGAGAATGATCAGAAGAGCAGTAATTCGAGCGATGAAAACTTACTGACGTCTTCTGGAAAGACAAAGGGTAATTATATCCTCTCCTCTCTAGAAATGTGGGATCTGCAAAGATCTGAAAGTAGAACAGTGGATTCTTTCTGCAGTGTAGAGATCGATCTATACATTCAAAAAATTATCAACAACTTCATACACCTAATGTTTCTTGAACAAAATAAATTATGTTGTATGGAAGTTGTTCCAAACTGACCAGGGGGCTCTAAACTCTCTAAACAAAGGGTCAGTATACTGCTCTTCAGACTTCAGAGGGACCATACTGTTAGCAGTGGAAGTACAAAATGTCCCAGCATTAATGGGAGTCAACATTACTTAGTGGTCAGCTGGAAAAAGACATAGCACCTGTGGTGTGTAGGAAGAGAAATAGTGCTCCTTAATTGGTGTCTGCAGGAGAAATGGTGCCCTATGATTGGTGTTAGTGGAAGGTATGGTGTCTCATCATTGGTATCAGTGGAAGGAATAGTGCCCCATCATTGGTATCAGTGGCAGGAATAGTGCTCCATCATTGGTGTCAGTGGGAGGAATAGTGCCCCATCATTGGTGTCAGTGGGAGGAATAGTGCCCCATCATTGGTGTCAGTGGGAGGAATAGTGCCCCATCATTGGTGTCAGTGGGAGGAATAGTGCCCCATCATTGGTATCAGTGGGAGGAAAAGTGGCCCATCATTTATATCAGTGGGAGGAAAAGTGGCCCATCATTTGTATCGGTGGGAGGAATAGTACCCCATCATTTGTATCAGTGGGAGGAATAGTGCCCCATCATTGGTGTCAGTGGGAGGAATAGTGCCCCATCATTGGTATCAGTGGGAGGAATAGTGCCCCATCATTGGTGTCAGTGGGAGGAATAGTGCCCCATCATTGGTATCAGTGGGAGGAATAGTGCCCCATCATTGGTGTCAGTGGGAGGAATAGTGCCCCATCATTGGTATCAGTGGGAGGAATAGTGCCCCATCATTGGTATCAGTGGGAGGAATAGTGCCCCATCATTGGTGTCAGTGGGAGGAATAGTGCCCCATCATTGGTGTCAGTGGGAGGAATAGTGCCCCATCATTGGTGTCAGTGGGAGGAATAGTGCCCCATCATTGGTGTCAGTGGGAGGAATAGTGCCCCATCATTGGTATCAGTGGGAGGAATAGTGCCCCATCATTGGTGTCAGTGGGAGGAATAGTGCCCCATCATTGGTGTCAGTGGGAGGAATAGTGCCCCATCATTGGTGTCAGTGGGAGGAATAGTGCCCCATCATTGGTGTCAGTGGGAGGAATAGTGCCCCATCATTGTTGTCAGTGGGAGGAATGGTGCCCCATCATTGGTGTCAGTGGGAGGAATGGTGCCCCATCATTGGAATCAGTGTAAGGTATGGTGCCCCATCATTAGTGTCAGTGGGAATAATAGTGCCCCATCATTGGTGTGAATGTGAGGACTTATACCACATTGTTGGTGTCCGTGGGAGGAATAGTTCCCCAAGGTCCAGATAAAGCAAACCCCGAGCTACACTCGGGAATACCCTGCAGCGCTTCTCCAGCGATCTCCCTGTTTAACTTACCTTGTCCTGCGCTCCCGCGATGTCCCCCCTGCAGTGTCCCCAGCCATCTCCTCCAGCCGATGCCGACATCTGTCTTCTGGGTTTTGTTCCCTGCGTCATCGGGACGTACGGGGGACGGAGCTGGCGGGAAATTCAAAAATGTCAAAAAATGACATTCACTAAATCCACTAAAATCACATAGTATAACATTCCTGTATCAAACCATTTCACATACATTGTGTCCCGAGTGCTTTGTCCGGCGCCCTGCCTGCATTGTTACTGTTCTTTCTGCCTGGAAACTGAGAAACGTCCATGGCGTCCAAAAAGCGTCCCTTTAGGTCAGACGCGGTTTTAGACCGGCTAGAGAACAGCGATAGTAAATCAGAACCACTTGCAGAATTGAGTGATAATGATTGGTGGGGGAAATCATCATCAGACACTGAAAACGATTCTGCGACTGAGCTCAACGATGTGCGAACTTGACACTGTGTTTCAAATTTCAGTGTTTTTGGCTTGATTATATTATTGAATTAAAATTATTATTATAATATTTTCTATGACTATTATATTAAAATTTCTGATTTCGTGTTTCAAATTTTATCATACCCGGGATGTTTACTAGACTCTTGTTCGGACAGATTACGTGAGTTATTCCTAAGAATTACAGGCCTACAATAAAAAAAACCAACATATTTCCCTTGAAAATAATGTACCACATTGAGCACAGAAATACTGCCATAATCAGACGGCTAGGGAGGTTAAATTGAAGAAAAAGGGGGAAACAATGAACTGGAACGCGTCAAAAAGTGGACTGCATTTTCTATAGTGTGAACCAGCCCTAAGTCCAAATGTCTATCAGCCAGTGGATGACCTGTGTACTATGTCTTTGTTTTAGATTCCATGACAAGATCACAAGTGGAGAAAAGAAAGACCAGCCCCTACTTCTCCAAGAAAGCCACAAGAGATGGTTTGTGCAGCTTATCATTTTTTATTTTTTAATTGATAACTGACTTATTTATTTCCAAGAAAGATCCAGAACAATATTAAATGTCAAGCAGAAAAGCCATGAATCATCGGCTCCAACATCTGCAGTGAACCTTAGTCTGGTTAAAGACATGCATTTCAGGCAGATATGAGGCCAAAAGTAATGCAAATTCGTCATCTTCATTCTTTTCTTCCTTCCTTCTTTCTTCTTCCTTCTTCTTTCCTCCTTTTCCTTATATTGTTCCTTACTACTTTCTTGCTTTCTTTCTTCCTATCTTATTTCTTCCTTCTTTCTTTTTTCCTTTTCTCCTTCGTCCCTCCCTTCTTCCTTCTTTCTCCTTCGTCCCTCCCTTCTTCCTTCTTTCTCCTTCGTCCCTCCCTTCTTCCTTCTTTCTCCTTCCTCCCTCCCTTCTTCCTTCTTTCTCCTTCCTCCCTCCCTTCTTCCTTCTTTCTCCTTCCTCCCTCCCTTCTTCCTTCTTTCTCCTTCCTCCCTCCCTTCTTCCTTCTTTCTCCTTCCTCCCTTCCTTCTTCCTTTCTTTCTCCTTCTTCCTTCTTTCTCCTTCCTCCCTCCCTCCCTTCCTTCCTTCCTTTCTTCCTTCCTTCCTCCCTCCCTCCCTCCCTCCCTCCCTCCTTCCTTTTTTCTCCTTCCTTCCTTCTTTCTCCCTCCTTCCTTCTTTCTCCTTCCTTCCTTCTTTCTCCTTCCTTCCTTCCTTCTTTCTCCTTCCTTCCTTCCTTCTTTCTCCTTCCTTCCTTCCTTCTTTCTCCTTCCTTCCTTCCTTCTTTCTCCTTCCTTCCTTCCTTCTTTCTCCTTCCTTCCTTCCTTCTTTCTCCTTCCTTCCTTCCTTCTTTCTCCTTCCTTCCTTCCTTCTTTCTCCTTCCTTCCTTCTTTCTCCTTCCTTCCTTCTTTCTCCCTCCTTCCTTCTTTCTCCCTCCCCTCCTTCTTTCTCCCTCCCCTCCTTCTTTCTCCCTCCCCTCCTTCTTTCTCCCTCCCCTTCTTTCTCCCCTTCTTCCCTCCTTTCTCCCTTTCTTCCCTCCTTTCTTTTCTCCTTTCTTCCCTCCTTTCTTCCCTCCTTCTCTCCTTTCTTCCCTCCTTCCTTCCTTTCTTCCCTCCTTCCTTCCTTTCTTCCCTCCTTCCTTCCTTTCTTCCCTCCTTCCTTCCTTTCTTCCCTCCTTCCTTCCTTTCTTCCCTCCTTCCTTCCTTGCAGCTAGAGGAGTCAGTGGGGTTGGATGTAGTTTTGATAACACCTGATATCTTAAGTAAAGATATAGAGAAAACTGAAGGGGGGGGGGGCAGTGTAACCTAAGCAGCTCTCTCTTGCCCTTATGATTCAGTGCAAGACCTGGGGCAGGTAGTTAATCATATCAGTCCAGTGAATAGATGGACCTACATTTGTCTCACAAGATCTCTAGAAAAACATTAAAATCCCAGTGACACAGAGACAGGTGGACTTTAGAAAATGTCAATGATACAGGGGCAAGCCAGCTTCCAACTAATGCTTCTCCCCATTTCCCTCTTCTTTATTTAAAGGGAAACATGCTAATTTCATTGCCGTAATGCACGTTGTATTATCGATCATTTCAGTGCCGTAATGCATGTTGTATTATTGATCATTTCAGTGCCATAATGCACGTTGTATTATTGATCATTTCAGTGCCGTAATGCACTTTGTATGTATTTTTGTAACATTTACCTAAAAGTGGTT